GAGTGTGAACGGGCCTTAAGACGTCGCAAGAGGTTTAAAAGCCCGTCTTGTCTCTCTCCGTCCTTTTCGGTTGCAACTGCGTGAACGGCGCTTCAATCTCTGGCGGCCCTCCTGTCCGTTTAGTGAAAGGAGCGCCGAACTCTCGCGCTCCGGAGCACGAAACACATGTACGACGAAACCGTCCGATCCGACGTCCGACCGCGCAATACGACGGTCGGAGGCGAGAGTTTTTAACGCTCTCCGATGCTACATAAACCCTCGCCCCCCAAAGTCATTCCGGCAGTCCGCACGTCGGATCGGAAGGTTTCGTCGTACATGTGTTTTGTGCCCCGGAGCGCGAGAGTTCGCGGGGTCCTAGCCCCCACAGTTAACCAAGTTATCGTGAAACGGAGTACAGAAAGCCAGTGCCAAGAGGCTCCTGTGAGTTCAGTTCCTCCTTTAGGTCTTAGCTGTTTTGAACTGAAACCTACTTGGCCTTTTTTTAATTTGTGGGGGTTAGCACGGGGCCCCCTGGCAGCCTGGGCCCTGGGCTGCAGCCCCCTTAGCCCGTACCTTAATCCGGCCCTGCAGAGACTCTGACGAAGCGAGCATTGTCGTAGACGTGGTCTCAAAACCGCGTGTTCAAAACGCGGAAGGTAAACGAGGAGTTTGAAGCTCGAGACGCCGAAGAGCTTTATGATCTAGGAGTGCATGCAAGGGGACGCCGCACGTTGAGCGAATGACGTCACCGACCCAACAAACAAGGCGGCCTTCCCGAATGGGGTGGATCCGAGGGTCCCGCATATGTCTATTTATCCACAAATTTTTTAGCGCATTTTGAAAACACATTTAGCAAAAATAGCGGAACATACAATGGATCCTGGCGGTATATAGCTATCTCATTTTTTATTGTTTATGTGCCCTAACGGGCTTTATAAAAGGGTACCCGGCTAGTTTTTGAGTTATTTTACGGCCCTCTGCAGTGCCATAACGTCAGTTGAAGTAGGGTAGAAGGGATGGCTTGCAGGACGAGCGGGCATTTTAAAAATCTGCAATGCCGAGCATTTGTTTCGTGCTGCTGCGAGGGTGCTGTAGCGAGCTTCCGAACCATTCACTTGACACCACAAAACTGCTTGCAATCACTTGGGGAACAAAGTGAACCCCTGCCTGCCGCTCATGTCACTTCATTGTTGCCAGTAAAAACTCAATTCGAAAAAAAAAAAAAAAACCTGGTGAGGACTAAAATTGTAAATTAAATAACACCGGCGAAAAAAAACAAAACATTATTAAACATTATTAGGCCGAATATTTGGGTTACTATTTCAGCGATGTTTGTTGGTGTGTTTTCAGGCAAATCGAGGACTCTGTAGAAAGCGCGTGTGGATCAAAGGGATTGATGCCCGTTTGAGGGACGGCATAAATCGGGTTCTCAACGTATCGTGCTAGGATTGACTACAGAGGTGCCCGAAGTTGCTGGAAGCTTTAGCTAAAATTGTGGGAAAAATGGCTCACCCGAGTAAATCAAGAAAAAAATGTTTTTTTCCCTATAGTTTGCATGTACACTAAAAATAGTGTTACTGCGGCGCTTATTTGGGCCAAATGAAGTGAAGAATTGGCAAGTCAATTCTACTGGGTGATTCAAGGAGCGGCCAGGCTCTTTAAAGGGATACTACAACGAAATTTTGGCGCTTTTTTTTATGGTCTATGTGTGTTCAAAGGAGCAGTATCGCATCGAACACACCAATATCTTGTTAAAGAAGTCACGAAAAGGAATTTCAAAACGAATAAACGATTAGCAAAGAGCACCTGGTGGATGTCGCTAACGCGTTTGTAATGCTCGTCTAGAAAGCTTGACAGCTAGTGACGGTAAGTGTCTCGCCTCCGGCCACGACGAGAGAAGATGGGAAGGAGGAACTCCCGTTTCCCAGGAATCCTTTTTGTGTGTTGCAGAAGTAGCTATTGTCCCCCTACAAGAATATAAAAGATTAACCCGTCACTCAAAATTCGTACAAAAGCAGCCGCTTCGGTGGCTGGAAGGACTAGGCCATCCCCTCGACGTCAGCCTCGCCGTAGCTTTGCTCGTCCCGAGACGACCTACGTCACGATTGCGTCGGATTTCACGCGCTCTAAGCTGGGCCTTCTCCAAGCGCTTGCCAGAATGGGCCGTTTATAATAGAAAATAGAGTCACAAGGCTCAAAATACAAACGTGCGATTGTCATTTACGGATATTGTGGATCATATTCAACCTATTTTTGAACACGACGGCTATATTTCAAATTTCGTTGAAGTATCCCTTTAAATCGACCGCAAAATCTTTGTGCAGCGTTGCCCACAGATGCTTTTTTTTTTTTTTGTAAAATTTGCAGAGCGAATTTGCATGAGAAAAAAGTAAAGAAAGAAAAAGGCTTAGCTCTTATGAAAACACAGTGAAGCCGTAACAGGCTTGAGCTGAGCTAGTTGGTTCATAGTTCACTTACGGCCAGCTGAACTAGAAAAAACATACACATAAAGAAAAGACCATTCACGCCGCTGGACTAACAACTGATTTTCTTTTTTCTCCTCTTCTACTGCAAGCCACACTTGAGGGAACAATTCTCTTTTCCTCTTTTTTGCTTTCTAATCCACCTTAAAATCTTTTTTTTTTTTTTTTTTCTTAATTCTTTTTAAAATGTTAACCCCGAAGAAATCTTTTTTCTTTCTCGTGAAGCACGAGAGAAGGTGCACTGACGCAGTCATCGCCTTTTTCCTCAATGGCAAGTGCCTCTAGGATTTCACGTCCCAGTTTTGTTTTGTTCCTTGCAACGATGTTTACATCGTAGAACAGTGCCGAACATTGTCGACCCATTGTCGTGCGTGTCAATGTTCGGCACTGTTCTACGATGTAAACATCGTCGCAAGGAACAAAACAAAACCGGGACGTGAAATCCTAGAGGCACTTGCCATTGAGGAAAAAGGCGATGACTGCGTCAGTGCACCTTCTCTCGTGCTTCACGAGAAAGAAAAAAGATTTCTTAGGGGTTAACATTTTAAAAAGAATTAAGAAGAAAAAAAAAAAAAAGATTTTAAGGTGGATTAGAAAGCAAAAAAGAGGAAAAGAGAATTGTTCCCTCAAGTGTGGCTTGCAGTAGAAGAGGAGAAAAAAGAAAATCAGTTGTTAGTCCAGCGGCGTGAATGGTCTTTTCTTTATGTGTATGTTTTTTCTAGTTCAGCTGGCCGTAAGTGAACAGTGAAGCCACCGGTCTTCAAACAATACGGCACCGTTTCGCATGGGAGACAAGAGATGGCACAAGCCTTCGCGACGTCAACTGCCGCCAACGAACGAGCATACAACGCCGAGAGCCGGTGTCTTTAACAGACGATCTAGGCCGGGGAGGAGGAAGCAGACGGAATGCTAAAGAGGGGGAAACCTTCTTTCCTTAGGGTTCCGTCTGCTTTCTCCCCCCGGCCAGTCGGCTCGGTAAATGACGTGGTCACGGGACCATATTACGCGAAATTACTTGACAGCATGACGTCACATGACCACGTGACAGCTGATTAATCAGTGCCAATATAAGAGCACCACGAAAATTACAATTACTCATACATTGCAATTCTGCATACACACTTTCATCACTACTTATAAATACAGCTGCCAATTTTTGTGTCTCAAACATTCATTTTGCAATAACAAAAATTGCCGTGAACCGATTTGAACCGGTTACCGTTATATTTTTTTCCGGTTCAGTTCCAAGATGGCGGCAAAGATTTCGGTCCGGTTCCGGTTTGGCTAAAAATAACGGTTCGGTTCGACACTCTGGTTCCCACAATCCTCACAAACCTCCGCACACACCTATCAAACGCGACGTCAAAATTAACGACGCAACAGCTATCCCAGCGCGGAAGAACAGTTTCTCAAGACTTTCTCGACATATTCAACCATTGTTACTTACCAGACTTTTACTTTGTGCTTTACTGTACCTCTGTTTTGTCCGAGGAAGCGGTCATCACACTTGACAAGGCTGTGGCATCTGTCTGTGACAGGCTACTGGACGCGGTTAAGAGTGTTGCAGTTTCCGGATCGTTTACCTAGGTTCATCAAACAATGTTTCATCGGCAAATCGTTTCATCAACAGCTGATTAGCTTTTTTCTGCAACAAGCTACATCAGACTGTCGCCGCAAAGCGGTGTGTACAAGTGGGTCCGGTGAGTTAACAGTTTTGCAATGAGCCGCTGCAGATTGTCGCCACGAAGCTTAAACGGGGCGGCCAATTGGATTAACACGCACCCCACTGATACACGCGCGACGAAATGTCCCTACAGCGTTCGATTCATGTAACGTGTCGACGAAATGTTTGTGCTGACGAAACGTGTGTCCATGAAAACTTGTCCACAAAACTTAATTCCATGAAATGGTTTTGATGAAATAATAGGGATCCCCTCGCGACAGCAGCGGGGCAAACGAGAAATGAAAGTCCGTCCGTGATGCTACCACTGAGCCAACTGTACCCCAAGCCCTCAACTGTAATCGAAGCAACTTCAAACTATTTTTTACGACAAACTACAGAAGAATGTTAAAACAAATTTCGGTAATATTCATACCATGCACTCATTTCCAAGTAACAAAGACCAAGCAAAAGCCGCCTGGCCTCAGCACGCTTGAAGGTTTTAGGTGGAATTGATCGCAGCGCCTTATGTTGGTGTCAACATGTGCATTAGGCAGAGCAACCTTGCAAGCCCACTACACACCTTCTAAGCCACTATATTATAGCGCTCTCTGCAGAGCAGGGCTGTTTTTAGGGGACAATTTACAAAATGACATTCCAAGTATCTTTGGGAACTTCCACCAGGTGTAACTTTGTAATCCCTTTAAATAAACTTCTGGGGTCTTAAAAAAAAAAAGAAAGCTGGTGTTTCTGAGAAACTACCACAACATAGTCAACATTTAGACAAACAAAAAAGGCGCAAGAAATACCAAAGAAACAAGTAGTCGCAAGTTGGCATAGCTCATGCCTGACAGATAAAGACACAACTACTCGAAAAGTGATGTAATAACTGCTGTATTTTTAGGATCACGGCATTTGGTACATACTTCACGTTCATCGTCCGATGAATCACAGATTCCGGAGGGGGCAGTTCTTCGTTCACCTGTCCCCTTTCCAGAGAAACAACCTCACCAAGAGAAGAAAAAGTGCGAGGCTAACTGCGAGGCATTGCAAGTTCTCCAATCTTACGGCCGGAAAGTATGTAAGTATACGAGCCACGCGAACACGTCAAACAAGGAGCCCGGCAGTTGTAGCAAGGAACCCATACTCCACAATACTTGAGGGGAGCTGGAGGCGACGATGGTTATGTCCGATTCATTTTGACAGGAGTGCAGGACCGTAGCAGTGGTGCAATTTCTAAGTCGCTAAACGTATAGCCTCGCAGTGGTCCGTCAGTGGTCCTCAAGTAATGCGCAAAAATGCTTCAGCTATCTGGGGCCTTAGCAGACCTTTAGTCATATGCTTTGCTGCTGCTCGACATAAGTTGGCCATGCCACTTTGAAGAGATGTTTTTCTGCAGACCTTTAGTCACAACATAACTTTAATTGTGAACAGAGGAGTAAAAAGCCAAAAATGAAAGCGAAAACTGCGGTCAACCTCTTCGAACAGAAACAGTTCGAGCAGAACACCCCGTAGTCAGCTCGAAAGCCCGCTCGGGCAACGGCGACGCAGACACCAGGAATGAAAAAGGGCAGCATTGTTCGTAGTAGTCGCACATTGTACAGGCGTCGGCGAAAACTTTCCTTCGCAAAGCGTTGTGCAAGAAAGCAGCAGGGGGGCGTCGCGCGGTATCAGTCGCTTTCAATTGCGTCAAAGTCGACACTCGCTCTCGGAGGGCCGGATGGGATGAGGCTTTCACCGGAAAACAGGCGTCCCCGCGAGGATGGAAACGATGGGGACGAGGCTGCGTACATGGGGGAGGAAAGGGGTTACGATCCCACACTGAAAATGTTCTGTGACCCTTAAAAAAAAAAAGGAACAAAAACACAAAGAACAGCCCTGAGGAGGAGCGATCGAGTTTTAAAAACGGGTGACTATACAGGCCAGCTACGTAGTAGGACGCCGAGGGGGAATGCGTGGAATCAGCGTCTGCGTCGCTTGCTGCTCTTGGAGTTGCAGGTGCGGGGTTGCGAGGCCCCCTTGCTGCCGGTGTCTCCCTGGAAGCACGGTGGGTGGGGGAAGTCCCCCAGGCCGTGGAGGGCCAGGAGTTTCTCGAAGGTGGACAAGAGCCTGGCGCCCGCTCGGTGCTCGGGAGAGCCCCGGCGGTTGTACACGCTGCAGTTCTGGAACACCAGGTAGATGTCGGCCACAAACTCCTGGGTGGCGCGGTACTCCATGCTGCTCAGTTTGCCCCTGATCTTGCCCAAGTCCATCGGGCGCCGAATCACGTCGTAGTAGTCTGGCACGTCCTGCATGAGAGAAAGACTGTGTCACCGGAGAAGGCGGAGGGTGCGCCACGTGGCTATTGCTGCGCGCGACGCTCAGAAAAACGTTAACTTCCCTCAAATTATTGAATTTTCTTTTAATTACCTCAATAGTATACACATGTCACGAAATAAACCTTTTATGAAAAAAGCTTGATCATGGACTGGTAAGCATCAGAAGTGTGATTGGCCTTGGCTCACGATCCCGAGGTGCGAGTCCAAATCCTGCCGGGGGACTGAAGTCTTGTAACGCACAGTGTTTTATCAGCCAATTTTCATGGAGTTCTGTAATGTTTGACTGTAACGGATGACTGTACCAATAAATTGTAACAAATAAAAACAAAAAAACATCAAAAGGCATTACGCTTATAGGGAACCGTATAAAAAGACTTAAGTTCCCTGGCAGGATTTGAACTCTCTACCATGAGGTTTGAGCAGAGCGCTTTGCTGACTGAGCAATCCTGGGTCTGCGGTACGTACCACGCAAAAGCGAGCTCACTTGCGCGGCGTGTGAATGAGCTCGCATGCTTTGCGGCCTTTTCCGGTCATGCAGCACCATCTCAAGATGTTAGTCAGAAATGAAAGCGAATCTTCGGTGGCCGGTGCCGTTCGCACATACTTCTCATCCTCCCTCGAAGGGCTATTGCACGTTCTGTGCTTTGTCTGTCAGCATGATCAAGCTTGTATTCATATGGCTCCCTACGGGTGTAACACTTTTCGGTGTCATAAAAAGAAAAATACTTCAGTGCATTATTTCTGTTCTGAGACTGATTTGAATCATTTGCTCATTCGAACGGTTGACATCTTGAAATAGAAGTATGCTTTGAAATTGCTCAAAACTAAAATATTCTGCCAAGATTTTTTTCCAAGGAAACTTCATTTTGCGATTTAAGGCCCGTTCACATTCTTGCAACCGAGGATGACCAGGAGAGACAAGACTTGTTGAAATCTCTTAAAATTTCTTAGGGCGAGAAAACACAATGGCATGCTGGCGCCATCTATGTGGTGACCCTCGAGCTGCATTTCACAAGAGCGAAGGTTTTGCGGGATTTCCGAGGTCAAATGTGCGTAATACCTATAAGAAAGGCTGGTTTATAACGTTGAAAAAAGTTTTTCGAGCCAAGAAAGAAAGGATAATGCGCAAGAAAAACAGAAAATATGCCGAACCGCCAAGTTTACACTGCTACCCAATAGATGGCGCCAGTGTGTCCTCTCATTGTAAGAGGTTTCAAGGCACCCAGTTAAGAGGTTGCAAGCGTGTGAACGGGTCTTTACATGTGTGCTGTTGCATTTTTATTTTTTAGAGGCTTGGGGAGAGTCGAGCTGCTTTTAAAGTCACTTCTCACACACAAGCATGCAAGTGCTTCCATGAGGCAGAAGAGAATGTACTATGGTAAAGAAATGTAAAATAAAGTTATTATTATTACTTCCAACAGCTTTGTTCCTTGACATCCACCAACACTGTATTCTTGCTGAAAAAAAAAAAAAAATCATTACTATGAAAGAGATGAGTCTTGAGCAGCTTCGTGTTCCTTTAGTTGCAAATTTGCACGGCCAATTTTCATATCCAGAAAAACAGAGTATGCACAGCTCTGCGATAAGGAAAGGCAGTGAGAAGGAAGAGGCGCTGCAGAAAATTGGAGTGAGCATTCACACGACGAAGTCGCATGTACTGTTGAGACCGGTTATAACGAAATAGCAGTTATAGCCAAGCGATCACGATTTCCCACCCCTGTTTGCACTTTTTCAATGCATTTGTGTCTGTTTTTAGCGAAGGGAATTGACCGGCTCCCACGGATATAGTGAAGAGAAATTTTGTGGTAATTTAAAAATAATACTAAAATTTGGAAAGTTACCCAAGTTTCAGACCGCCACACTTCGCTGCTGCCGCCGAGCAGCCACCGAGACCGGGTTACAGACGATGCTGCAAAGGCTGCCGGCGGCAGCCTCTGCATCATCGTCTGCTCCCCACTCCTTATCTGGGAAGCGGCTTTTCCACATTAGACTTGGAGAAGCCGTCGTGGCGTGCTGACAGGGGCGTTCAGAGCGCTGGCGATAACGTACCGGCGGAGATGACGGAGAGAGCCTAGATTTAAGAGATGGAGCATCTCCAACCATTGAGAGCATTTGCAATTTAATGGCAGACGTCTGCTAGGCAGATTGGCACAAGTATGCCTGCATTTGGCTGTTACATGGCTAGTGTCGCGAGAAAATTGAACAAAGAGGCGAACATGTTTGGAGAAGGTGAACGCTTTCGAGTTTTGACTCCTTGCATGCTGCAGCTTGTTTTGCAAATATGGCCCACAAATGTGGGCAGTTGCCCACTTTCTTTAATCTGGGCTCTCCATAGCCACGAAAGACGAGCTTGAGCACAAACTTGGTGCTGTGCACGCTGCTTTGTTTGCGTCGTGTTATGTGTGGGCGTTCTTGTGCGAAAGTAACTTCGCTCAAGAATCGATTCGGCGAATCATGACCACTCAAGGACAAAGAGTCCCGGTACCGCCGGCACCTCAGCAGGCAAGATGAAGGCAACCTCCTTGAAACGAAAGCGTACCATCCTCGATGAAGTGCGCATAAACATAAAAAATGCCGTCCGCCGCCGGCCTATGTATGAACCGTTGCAGTTGTCGACACTGTCCGTACATGGCTCGCAGAATCTTTTCTCGGTCGGAGCTTCTCGCAGTTGGCGAGAAGTGGCTTCGATTTAGCAGTGAGAGCATGTAGCGAAGCCTCGACCGCTTTCTGCAGGCACGATAAACATGTGCTTGCAACAACCCCCAATTTCTTTTTATTTTATTTTGCTCGTTACTTTTATGGCTTTAGATATAAAGAAGTGGATATAGTGAAGTGATTTCTCGTTCCCACAGACTTGGTTATAACCAGTCTTGAGAGTAGTTGAGTCGCAGAGTCTTTCTTTCCTCGAATGTGTCTGTGACCTTTGGGGGCTCGTCAAACAAAAAGCGGGGAAAATAAAAAAAGAAAAGAGGCGCTTCACAGCTCAACACTGCCGACTGCAATCCTTTCCTGAAAAGAGAGGGACCGGATGCTCCGACGGGACGACGAATATTCTTTGGACCGGTCACCGATTCTCCACAGCTCCCCGTGAGTTCGGGGTAGTGGCAAACATCCGCGACGTGGCACACAAGACGTTGAAGCTCCGTCGAACGAATGCACCATTACAAACACAAACGTGGAGAGGAAAAGGCTCCCTGGTACATTGGGGTAACATGATATTCTGGAAGAATCACCAGCTTCACGTGCATTGCGGTCACTGCAAAACAGCGAGACATAGACGCAGGCGTCGGTGGTCCCGTACTGGTGGCGACACTTCAATACACGCAAAGAAGTGACAAAACACCACCTGCAAGGTCTGTGCCTAGTTGTTTTCAACCTCAATTTTCCACAACACTACCAGCGTCGCAGGTCGTACAAAAAAAAAAAAAAAAAAAAGGAAGTCGGCAAGTGCTTAAACAAGTACGACTCGTCACGGCTAACGAACATGCCAACTCATTGTCTGCTTTCTTTCTTTCCCTTAAGACCACCGACGTCGGTGCTTACGACGTGCTGCCTCCATCCTAAGTCCCCCACATGGGGGTTCTCGACCAGAGAGGGAAGGAAAAGGGACCGACCCTGCGGCTGACGGCGCAGTGGAAGGGCCACGAATTCTCGTCGTGCACCAGGGACTGCAGGATCTCGTCGCAGGCCTTGAAGTCCAGGGGGAGGTCCTGGCTGGACCGGCGGGACGACGTCCGAGATGGGAACCCTGGCGACAACCAAGCGAGCTCTTAGCCGATGTATGTATCAATGCCATCTTCCCAAAGGGCCAAAATCCCATATTTTGCAGACTATACGAGTCTAAAAGTTATGTTTACGAGCTGTCTGTACAAGGACTCATTTTCTTTTCTTTTTTTTTTTTTTCAAATTGTTTATTACGACAAGACACGATGGATCTTTTGAATAACAGAGTATGTTAATGATGATTTATGCACGCAACAAGCTTTGTCTTCGTGCACATTAGGCAATGTGTACAAGCTACGTACGCACTGGGTGCGGACCGTCCGAGAAAACATTAATTTTTGTGGGTCTTTGTTTTTACACTCCATTCACCCAAGCTGCCAGTACGGCAAAAGCTACGCGCTTCTTGAACCAGTCATGTCTCGCACTACGCGATCGTGCAACCTTTTGTCACAAATCGAAGGCCATGTCTCCGTCTGCACCACTCACCCTCGTCGCTGTAGGAGGATGCCGCGTCCCAGCTGAACCTGGCCTTCTTGAGTGCCACCGCAGGCAGGGAATGTCGCTGAGGTGGGGGACGCTTCTTGCCTGCAAGAAAGGGCAAAAACGATCAGATGACGCTGGCTTTCTCTGCACCGCACTCCATTCTGGCCAATAGAAAAGCCTCTGGGACCGCTCATGACCGGGTGCCTTACAACTTCTCGCAATCTCTCGTGACGAGCGAATGCGCCGGCACCATCTATCGCGCAGCCGTGGAACACCCGCAATTTCCATGTACAGCCAGATCTCGTCGTTCGGTGGTTTGGCAAAAATCCTCGCAGCCTCAGATCAAGCTCCTACCTAACTTCTGCAAGAACATTGATCTTGAAAGTGTGAAGTGCACGTTGCAGAAACATTAACATATACAACGTAGTGAACTCTTTAGCGTTCCCTGCCGAGTCACGTTCAGGACAAAGTAACTCCACGAGCGAGCCATACTGCCGCGGACTGGCGCTGCTTCTTAGGATTTCGTGACGTGGCGGCATACCATGACCGCCACCATACGCAATACTGAAATCTGCTAATTTGTTTCAAAAATAGTTTTCTTGATAACTAGGCCGGCAACCTAGAGACACTAGTTTGGGCTAGTGTTTCTGGGCTGCCAATGCAACATTGACCACACATAAACAAAGAATTTAGTGCATACATTTCGTTTCCGTACCCCTTTAAGTGATCTCATCGGGAGCACAAGACCCTAGTTCTGTCTTACCACAGCAGCTGCCATCGTAAAAATTGGTAATGTTTTCTCACAACTTTTAGCTCCTCCACAGCTCCTCCCCTCCTAGCCTTTTTCTCAATGCAGGTTTTTAAGGGGGGACACTGGCTGGAGACTGAACTTTAGAAATATTCAAGTGATTGGAATGAAATTTGCAGGGGAGATTTAATGTCAGATGTAGGTGTACTGTGCAAACTTTCAGCTACGTAAGACAACTTTACATACCTGCATAAGAAGATGTATCATTCTTTGTTAAGAAATCTATGATATGCAAATGAACCTATTAAGCACCATTTTGACTGCTTGAATATAAAGTAGGGGATGTGGGACTTTGGGCTATCCTAGCTTTTATAACTCAAATGGAAATATTTCAGGAAGAGATACTACCTCAAAATATGAAATGCAGAGCTGCCCTATGTCAATTTCTGAAAACAGTTTTTTTCCCTCAATGACGAGTTCAACTTCAAACAAAATGAAGTAGATAGCCCAATTCCCCAGTAAATTTCAGTTCAGACACATTTGACTGTGATATCAGAACACTTTTACCTTCAGACAAAATATTCCTTTGTTTGAAATTTGCAGCAAGAAGCGGAACTGAGAAAAAGGCACCCAAACAATGACCTTCTTTACTTTGTTACTACCTCACAATATGTTGAAAATATTTAATATCAAAGCAACCATTTGGTGTGTGGTTATCAAATTTAGTGTAAAGGTTTATAATTAGTTTCTAAAACTGAAAACCTCAAAATTGAAAAATTAAGTTAAAAAAAAAAAAGTGAAAATTAGGCGCTGGTCTTTCCTCAAGATTAAAGTTACACCTACCACCGAGACCAAAAAAAAAAAAGTACACCCTGAATAGTACAGAGCATAATTGCTGAGCCTATCGCGCTAACCCAGGTGCTCCCCCATGTCAGCCGTTGTTAGCACACTGGTGCAAAGCGGTGAAGTTCGACGCGCAAGCGCTGGTGAGAGGCGGCGAGGAGGCATGCAGCAGACACAATAATCAAGTGATCTCATCAGGAGCGCAAGACCCTGGTTCTGTCTTATCACAGTAGCCGCCACCCTACAGCGTTTTCTCGCAACCTTTAGCTCCTCACATCACCGAAAGTCTGGAAATTTAGACAATGTCGGCGATCAATCCACCAACGCGGTTGACGAGCAACCTCAACACTTCGTTTCACCTTAATGTAAAGCGCAGCCGCTGCTACGCGTCAATGGGACCAACCAGTGTCAAAGCGCGACATCCTGGCATTCGTCCGTCTTCCTGTATTTGTGGTTGTATGTGTTCAATCCTTCGACTGTACCATGAACTCAGATAAAACAAGATGTACAGTGAGTACAGACACTCTGAAATACGTATTTGTACCATTTCTTTCTCCTCCTGCTTCTACAAACATTAGAGTCAATAATTAATTTTTTTTTTTGTTGTTTTGCCCATTTCGGCCCAGGTGTGGCGCAATTCTTAGCAAAAATGACACTCGGCACAACATGTGGCAGTCTATTGTTCAGGCGCAGTGGCACAAATGGCACAGCACTTCCATCCCTCCTATAGCAATATTTCAGAATAACGGACAACTTTCGGTACCCCCATGATATTCGTTACATCAAGATTTGACTGCATTTTCTTTTTTTTGTGCATCATTATTTGAGTTGGAACCATATCTCATATATGGTACATACATTTGATTTTGCAAATACTGCGAAGTCTTCACTCTAGTAAAATGCAGTTCACCTGAAGAATAGCCAGTTGTGCAATTGCCATTGTCACAAAGACTTTAGAAAGCAAAACCTCTTCCGACGGTCTCGCCAATTGAGGCCGCTCTAATATTCCAACAACAATCTAGACCTTCGGCACTAAGAGAATCACCAAGAACAATGAAAGGAACAACCTACGAGTGGTGGCAACAACCACAAAATCTATCACCCCCAACAAAAAAACTGGAAGAGTCGGCCAGATTCGTAATCAGATCCAAGCTTCGCATTCCAAGTCAAACTTTGAACACAAGCTTTCTTACGAGCCGGCAGGAAAGCCAAAGAAGGGTGCGGGGCTGTTTCGGCTTACACTGTCCGTCGTAGTAGATATATTTAAGCCGTATCCCTATCATTAGCATTGCTGTCCCACTCGTTTGGTGGTTCGATCCGAACAGGACCCGAGAGACGCGGCTCAAGTCGTCGTCTGTCTCCGGCACCCGTCCAAAACACTCACCATCAGATATGGCCTTCCTCTCCATGTAGCGCTTGGAGACGGCGGCGGCACTCTGGGAGCGAGTCCTCGAGCCCTTCCCTGCATGGATGCATAGCGACTATTGCTGGGTGCCGCCAATAGACGAGCATGTTCCCACATGGATGGCAAAAAAATGGCCCGAGACAAATCGCAGAAAATTGTATTGCAAATTGCTGGGCAATTGCGCTGCATACGCCAGACGTTCTAGCATCACAAACGTTTATCGTTTAGTGGCATGTCTGGCCCGTTCAGCCAGACGCCAACACCTGCGGCGCTCTTCGTCGGATAATTTAAAGCGCGGCAGTCGTACACTTGAAATGATAAACCCGGAGATCTTCCGTTTTCGGGCGTGAACCCACCGGACGGTGCGGAGGCCCCGGTGGCGGCGGCCGCGGGGCGCCGCTTGGCCTTGGCGCAGCGCGAGCAGTTCCAGGAGCCCCTGGGCACCCTGCGGAGGGGCGGGTCCGTGCACTCCGTGTGGAAGGCCAGCGGGCAGCTGTCGCAGCACAGCAGGGTGCCGCCCTTGCCGCACGCGGCGCACACGTCTTCGTTGTCGTCATCCTCCTCCTCCTCGTCCTCCTCTTCTTCCACCCTGCACCAGAGACAGACTGTGGTCGGGACGAGTCCTCTCTCGCTCCAGAGTCCGCCAAAAGGCAAATGACTTGAAAGAGTGTACGTCCTGACCAACCGACAACTTTGACGAGAGCTACTATACGGGAGCTAAGAGGAGCGGGCTTGAGAAATTTTAAGCACGTCGTGCTGCCAAAGTCATTGTATCCAGGTACATTGGCTGTTGAGTCGTGGTGAAACGCGAAATCGGGTCGTGCAAACGTGTCGCGCGACCTTGGGTCCCATGTCGTCAGGCATCGCTAAACTTCCGCTCGATCGTGGACTCGTGAACAATTCAAAATCTTCTCACTGATCAATGAAGCGTGCCCCACAAGAAGCTCCGACGGCCTGTCCTGTCAGCAGTTGAGAAAGCTCTTGCAATGCTGCAAGAGTGTGTGGCTTTGTCTCGCGTCTAATCCGTACGCAACGCGAGATCCTGAGCAAAGCAATGCACTCTCGCACGGAAACGTATCTTTGAGAGTGTTAAAGCACTGTGGAAGTCACCGTCTTTAGATCTATCGTTTGACGAGCTCCACGGAAGAGAGTTGTTAAAAAACGATCATTCTCTGTTGCTTGGACGCAAGCAACAGAGAGAGATCGGCTTTGAAAGACACTCTTTTTGCACAAACGTTTGCGCTGGAAAGCAGGCGTAGGAACGAACGATTGAAAATGCTTTGCACAATTCTTGACGGAACACTTCTGATGGATAGACACATATTTGTTGCAGCGCATATCTCTCGAATCACACCAAATACACACACTAAAACAGAGGAACACGAATTTGCAAAAGAATGTTTTGCAAATTCTTACTTCCCCCAAACAATAAGGGATTGGGATGCATTGCCAGAGAGCACAGTTGTAGAAAACACTGTATCAGAGTTTGAAAAGTCTTCATAAGTAAGAAACAGATTGACGTTATTCCTGTTATTACTGCTGTATACCTCAGCGGTATTTTGTGCCGTCTAGCTCTAAAATACATTGGAATGACCAGAATGAGTGTACATTTTTGTGGTATGTGAACAAAACATTTTGGAATTTTGCACGTGCATGTTAGTAATGAATGGTTATGTTGGTCTCTGTCGTTTCTTCGAAGTGCTCACTGCTATCATAGTCCCCGCTGTGGGCCTGATGGCACTGTCAAATAAATAGAAAAAAGGAGGAACACAATAGTCATGTTTTACTGCAGGTAATGTAAATTCAACGTTTCACTGGTTCTGCCAGTTCTGTCCATAGGGCAGGCCGATAGCATAGTGAGTGCCACCAAGTGGACGCGCCACGAAAAGCTGTCGGTGATTCTTGGAAGCTCGTCAACTGGCTTTGACCCATTAACGCTGGTCGAAGCTGCACCAACCTGGACTACGCAGCACAAATTAGTCTATGCTGAGAGAGGGCAAGAGGCTGCCATAGCGCGGTACTGGGTTACACGGTTAGAATCCAATTCCACACCTAGAAAAAACAGTAAGAGGCTTGACATGCAAGTGAAATTAACCGCCTTTCTGTATTGAAGAAGCGGCCTGTACACCGTAAAATCTTGAAGGGCACCCTCTCCCCGAAAGATCGCCCATTCCGTTTTTTTTTTTTGCTAAATGTCTGTAACATAAAAATTCCGAAACATCGCCCACGCCCCGATTCCCAATGGACGTTAATCGATGTCAGACAGGAATCGCGCATCAACGGCACGATCGGTGGTACCACTGTGTCTGTGAAGCGAGTTCCTAGTGGGTTCCCGCGTTTTTGTCTGCGATCTGCGAGCAATATCGGCTCGCAGAACACGCTAGTTGTTCCCACCTGTATGTCGCATCGTGAAATGCGAATCTGCTGCGTTCGCGATTTGCGTTATCCGTTCCCGAGTTGGTAGCGGTATCTTGTGTTTTTGCCCGCAATCTACGTGTGCGATATAGATTTTTAGCTGTACGTAACACGAGCGAGTTGTTCCCGCGTGTATATTGCATCGAGAAATGTGATTCTGCTGCGTCCGCGATCTACGGTATTTGTTTCCGTGACATGGGAGTTTGTAGCGTATTCCCCTGTTTTAGTCCGCGATATTGGTTTTTGTGACAGGCAAGACTGTAGCGGGTTCCCGTGGCTTTAATGCAACATGAAACTTGAACCTGCTGCATCCGCAATCTGCGGCATCCGTCCTCGTAAGATGCGAGCTCTCGGCGAGTTTTTGCAGGTCCTTCGCATCGTGAAACGCGAATCTGCTGCGTCGGCCACTTGCGGTATCTCGTGACACAGGAATTTGTAGCGAATTCCTGCGTGTTTATCGCATCGTGAAACGCGAATTTGCCGTGTCCCAATCTGCGGTATCAGTTCCCGCGTCGCGTGGTTTGTAACGGGTGCCCCGCCGCTTATCATAATTTTTTTTTATAAAGTTTTGCTGTGGCATCTCCAAAAGATAGCCCACCCCATGTTTTTCACCATTTATCTCTTCAGTTTGGGTGGGTGTCCCAGCAGAATTTTATGGTAGGTATTCCTGGGGAACGTTGCATTCAGCGAGAATTAACGAAAACGACTGGTAGGGCTTACGGCCTCCGAGCAGGGTCGGCTGGAACGCTAGGTACTTTCCGCCCTGCGAGCCGAGCTGGTCACGTGACCGTAAAATCCCTCATGCGGCTATCTTAGCCCCGGGAGAGACAGCCGCATTGATCGGCAGACTGCCCCTGGGGAGTTTTCTGAGCCACTCACTGGCTGTCGCTGTCCTGGGACTCCTGGTTGTCATCGTCGTTGTCGTCGTCGTCCGCCTCCTCCTCTTCCTCGTCCTCATCAACAAACTTGCGCTTCACGGGAGAGGCGGGCTTCTCCTTCGGGTGGCACGCCAGGCAGAACCAGTCTCCCTTGGGAATCTCCTGCAGGGGCCCACGAAGCAGGTTGGCGAAACTTTGAAGGGAGACTCATGCCTAACGTTCACTTTCATTCAGTCAGTGAACTTTGCAGTTCACTGACTGAACTACAAAGAGGCAGAAACGTGCATGGATGGGTCGATGAAACCGGCAGAACCAGCAGCCGGAGCCCTTTCTCGGTGCATTAACGCACTTGCAACTCGTCAGGGCCGAGTGCCTTAAAATCTCTTGTGACGGGAGAACACACTGGCACACTGGCACCGTCTGTACGGCGACACTGGAACTACATTTCCCTAGAGCCAAGGTTTTGCTGTATTTTCAACATCAAATGTACGTACCATCTAGGAGAAACGATAGTTTAAAACACTGACATTCAAGCCAAAGCATTGTGTAATCCCGCGTTGATCCACGGCAGCCGCGGCAACAGCCATGACCTGTCTCGGAAAAGTCGTTGGGCTTTCGGTCGCGCACCACGGGGTGTGCGACCAAAAGCATTTGCAACGAAAATAGACGCCCGACTATTTTGTTCCGAAAGCTCTTGTTATTTTTTTGTTCAGGAGCAAGTGCATCTCCCGGCACGAGCTCTTGGCATCGACGGCGCTACGACGGCATTTTGCTATTGGCTATTTCTTCACATTTTTACAGAAAGTGCGTGCAGTGGGCATCCGATACTACAAAAAATGACAGGAGTACACTCAAGACTGCTTACGTGTAGGAAGGCAAAGGCATTATAGTCCTACGGAAGAAATGTTTCTACACGTATTAAAGTGTAGGACGACGTCCTAGAGATCGACGCCAAGTATGACGTCCAGGACGGTGTCAACGACCTCTCAGACGACACCTAGGACGATGCCAACGGCCTCTCAGACGACGTCGAGAACGACTCCTAGGGGCAACATTGAGAGCAGGATACTTAAGGGGGGACACTACCCAAGAGGGTAGACTTTTGAACCTATGGCTTAATATGAATGAAATTTACAGTATATACTGGCAGTTGCAAGGCAGAATGCAGTGTAAAGTTTCATCTATGTACATGAATTGTAAAATATATTATTGTTGTTTTATCAGGAACACACCGACTTTGTTAGGAAAACTATTGTTAGGAAACTAATGTAATACCCAACATTTTTCTACTCTAGATCTGCAGCAGAATGCCTGGAGAGTGCAACTGTTAAAACGAAATTTCCAAAAAGTAATTTCTTTTATGCTAACATCGCAATGAAAATTCAAACAAATATTTTGCCGTTTCTGTCGTCGACAACATCTTGACATTTTATAAAAGACATTCACAAAGTAAAAAAAAAAAACCAATCCCACAGTTGCACTGCCCACAAAATTCCAGTTTGGAAAAACAATGAGCGAGTCTTTCCTCTTGTCCCATTAACAAACAATAGTTTTCCTAAAGTGAAATTTATGCCAAACAGTGGAACGGAGAAAAATGCGTTCAAAGTGTTCCAACCCCTACCTTTTCTTTAGCATTGGTGAACCAAAAATAATTTATAAAAAATTAACTATGCAGTATAAAGTAATGAAACTTTCTGAAAATACTCTCTAGATGTTGGTGGATGTAAATATAACCTTTCTCAAAACCAACTTTTTTTGCAGAAAGTTTTTTTTCTGGGTAGTGTCCCCCCTTAAGGAGGCTGTGGCATATTTGCGTGGGCGGCCACGTTTGCCTGCGGAAGCAGTCATAGATACAGATGCTGCTGCCAATGCTGAGGCCGTAGATGTAGACGCAGTCGCCTCAGTCCATCACACGAAGCACGCAACAAGCACAGATGAGTATGAAGCACACCTTTTCCGTACAACGCTCCGGCGGCGACATTACGCCGATGACAGTTTTATGGCCATTTTTCGGGCACAACGCCGCTTGTTTTAGAGCGCAGCTCTTAGGGGCCCGTTCCCGGCTTGAGCGGCGTCGGCGTCGCCGTCAGCGTAACCAAGGTCATCCCAAGGTCACGTGACCCCTCCAGGTCACGTGACCCCTCCCAAGGTCATCTCAAGGTCACGTGACCCCCTGAAGGTCACGTGACCCCTCGAGGTCACGTGACCCCTCCCAAGGTCATCTAAAGGTCACGTGACCCCTAGATGACCCCACGTGACCCTTTGAAGGTCACTTGACCCCCGAGGTCACGTGACCCCCAAGTCACGTGACCCCTCTGAGGTCACGTGACCCCCGAAATCACGTGGTCTCCTCCCCAAGGTCACGTGACCCCTCCCAAGGTCATCTCAAGGTGACCCCTACGTGACCCCTCAAGGTCACGTGACCCCGAAGGTGACCCCCACGTGACCTCAGGGGTCACGTGACCCCCCCCGGAGCATATTAAAGAATGAGGGGAGGAGGAGGAGAAGGAGGAGGGGTCTACGCTCCCCTAGTACCCTTCACTCCTCCTCCTCAAGAGCTGCGCTCCAATTCGGCGTTACAGGGATTTGTAAACGGCTTTCACTTTTTTAGAGCGCAGCTCTTAGGGGCCCGTTCCCCGCTTGAGCGGCGTCGGCGTAACTAAGGTCGCCCCGAGGTCACGTGACCCCCAAGGTCATCCCAAGGTCACGTGACCCCCCCCCCCAGGTCACGTGACCATCCCCCAGAGTCACGTGACCTCCCCGATGACGTCATCGTCACTGATTACCTCACCGGCATCCACATCGTCATCGTCATCATCACTGATGACGTCATCAGTGACGTCACTGATGACGTCACCGGCATCCGCATCGTCATCATCGCGGATGACGTCATCAGTGACGTCGCGGATGACGTCATCAGTGACGTCACTGATGACGTCACTGACATCCGCACTGTCATCGTCATCATCGCTGATGACGTCATCGGAGTCCGCATCGTCATCGCCACTGATGACATCATCGGCATCGTCACATGACCCCCCAAGGTCACGTGATCCGCCCAGGTCACTTCACCCCCCCCAGTACCCTTCCCTCCTCCTCCTCAAGAGCTGCGCTCTAATTCGGTGTTACAAGGGGTTGTAAACGGCTTTCACTTTTTTTTGTTTAATGTGACAAGTGAGGTCGTCTGGAGGCCTACAACTTCTTGGATAAGTACTCAATCACATTTTTATTGGGTTTTTCCATGCTTTTTCTCTCAATGGGACAAGTAAGGCCTTTGCCCCAAGTTGTGGGCTCATTAACGTTGTGGTATAGCTCAGTGGTAACACCTCTGTTCGCATGCGGCGGGCCTTGGTTCAAATCACGTGGGTGGCTGGCAAACTTTATTGAGGATTTGGTAACGTCGATGACGGACGCCCCACTATGCCAACCACAATTCCAGCCCCAACTTCAATATAAACAAAGAACCTTATTTGCAGTGGTCAGAAGAGCCCATAACAGCTATCACCGTAATATATGGGACCGCCTAGTGTTCCACAACTCCCTGACAGGTGGCGCCAGCGTGCACTCTTTGTGAGAGATTTTAAGGGGTTTCAAGGTACACAGTCGTAGGAAGCCGCAAGTGTGTGGATGGGCATTGAAGGGGTGATGCAACAATTTCAACCTCGAAAGTATTCGCAGTTGTCAATTTTACACTGTTTATCTTACCAAAAAGAATGGAGATACTGCCTCATTCTTTCGAAATGTCGCGATTTCGTTGCGCAATAGCAAAGAAAAGACCGGGAACATTTCACGAATTGCAGCTGCGGGGTAGCAGCCATGGGAACTAAAGAGTAATGCGCAATGGGTATAATGTAGTAAGTTGGCACAATGTGCCATTATATGCTCAACCGAATGCTACATTTGATAAGTATTGTCGTTTCAACCTGAGTAGTTGCGTCAAAAACCTCGCATCATCGACAAAGTTGTACTATATTCAGTTTTAGTGCCGCCATCTGCCTGAGGTGAAAACAGCTATTCCTCCCTTGAGCCTCACCCTGTTGTGCCACTACATCAGTCGAACTTCCTTACAGGAAGGCTGGCTCTTTACCCCGCGTCACCACCCACCTCGAGGGGCGGCTTGAGGCAGTAGATGTGGTGTCCCCGGTCGCAGCCGTCGCAGAGCAGCATCTTGTCGGGGTCCCTCTGCCGCCGGCACACCCGACAGTAGGCCTTGAGCACCGACCGGTCCCAGGTCACGCTGCGCTCCAGGGAGGACAGGTGCAGGAACAGCTGCGCCACCGAGGTGCAGCGCCGCACCGACTCCCGCCACTGGCACAGCACCGGCGGGCAGGCCTCTGCGCAACCGAGCGATGTGCGCCCGCGGGTGACTTTACGGCCGTACACGGATGTCAGAGCAACTAAAACTCCCCCGACTCCATTTTTTTTGTTTTTTTGTCGATGCTTTTTGTCTATGATTGCGGTACAGACAGTGGTAACAAATGGAAGTGCGCGACTCCTGGCGGGGCCATTTTGCGTAGAAGCCGTAGGGCAGCCAGTATTGCGTCGGTCTTTTCTAAGCAACGTATGCTCACCCGAGAGTCGTGCTACACAAATGCCACAACAGGCGCCAACTTGTCTTGCACTAGAGATGGAAGTTGAAAACACGTCCCTTTCATGCGTTGAGAAAGTCAGCTGCATCATCTCGTTCTCAGTAAGTTGTGTTCGATCCGACGGCGAGAACGCACTCGGATAAGGGGCAAGGACTACTGCTCACATTGATTTAATCAACCACTGACACTGGTGCGTTCCCTGGTAGTTACCACAAAGTCATCCAATCCACAAGCATCGTAGGCACAAGAAACACAGAGTTGAGTTACGCTGCAAGAACACAACTGAATCCGAGCTTCGAGCCTTGGGCGCTTGGGAAGCAGATGATCCACGGATGTGTCGTGACATGCTCAGTCCACCTACAGATCAGTCGCTTGAAGTATCGGGTGAAAATTACGAGCATTTCCGAGTTTATACCCACAAGTGTTTCCAAACTTTTTCGGAACGTATTTGGGTTCAAGCCTACAAATGTTTACAAACTTTTTCTCGGCATATTTGAGTTCACGCCTACGAATGTCTGCGTAAAATAAAGTTTCGTGATAGTTGCTTCCTGTCTCGTCTCTAACGCTCCCCAAAGGGCATTCTTGTTCCTTATGTTTTCCCGAATTATACATTTTCTCCCCCTGAAAAACGTATGAATGAAGTTGTACTCTATGGACTTTACACCAAAAACTGAACCAAACACTTGGCAAAAAACCGACGCTAATGGAAAAAATTCTGCGGACAATCACGCGACATGATGTGAATGAACAGCGTCAGCTGGTGCGACATTAGAATAATATTGCGTTGTGACAGACTGGAGAGTCCGGTGATGTTGCATTGTGCAGTGTTTGGCGTAAATAGCAATCCCACACACCGGTGCGGTGTCTGGTCCAACGGATGCCACGGTCACTACTGATTAACGCATTGCACTGCAAATGATGTAGCGGACCAGACGCTCACCCCCCTCCGCTTCCTTCTTGGTCTTCTTGTTGAGGTCAGCAGCCCTCCGCTTTTTCCGCATTTCCTCTGTCTCCCCTGCAACGTCAGACCAGCATTAGCAGTGTCACAACGCACCCAAAAGTAATAAAAACAAAACAAAAAAAGAAAAAAACAAACAAACATACATCCGCTTTAGCAGACAGTGGGACAAACGTGCCCGTCGACCGCAACCATGCAAACACCGAACATTCTCGACTACGAAAGCAACGACACGTCTACTGTAATCCAGAATGTGGTTTAGCATCCAAAGACTCGTACGAAGGCGCACCAGCTTTTCGACGGCGGTAGCCGTTAGCAGTTCTTTCTGGGCAAAATCCGGCACCGTTTGAATGCGAAAACCCACGTGATCGCGGAGAGAAGGGCGACGACAAAAGGGGAAGTGACAGCACTCCGCCCCGCCATCATTCTTTCTCTCGCGTTGTTGGCCCTCGCAGACCCACGCAACCACTGGCGAGATGCTCCCTCTCTCCAAAACCCAGCTACCGCCGTTGTGGTTTTCTCAAAAGTTCCCAGTGCATCTTGGATGAGGTAAAGCGAATACGTCGACGGCCTTCCGCAGACAACCTGCGGAAGCTCAGGGCGGGTGCGAAGCGGTGGGACCTGCACGGCACCGTCCCCCACCGCCGGGACAACCACCCAATTTCGAAGGGCATTCCCGGACGACCCCTTTGGGTGCCGGTGCGACGGGCCGTGGTTTCGGAGAAACCTGACAATCGAAGCACGTCTCCCTTCTGGTAAACGAGTTCCCTGGCTAAGACGCGTGTGGTTCCAAAGCTTGTGCGACGTGAGAGCCTGCCTTGTAAAGGGGCAAAGTGCCAAACTCGTCCTCTAAAAGCAAACATCACAAAGCGCGTCTTTCAACGACGCAAAACCTACCACCGTCAATCGCGGCGCGCTCTGTGCGGCCGCTCCAATTTTTAAGAGAGTCATTAAACATATCCAAGGTCTGCCTGTACAACAAGGGCAAAAGAGAGTAATGAAAATGCTCGATCCTACGGATAAATTTGGTATCCATAGACAGTGTTTCCGTGGCATTCTACAGAGTCTGTGGTAAACATTGCGGTTTTCTTTTTCTTTCGTTATAGCAAGTCATTTTACTCCAAACTCTGTGCTTTTTCACGCGATAACGGCGTGTCTCGGATTTCCTTCTTTCCATAAACTGTTAGAACACGAACGCCAAATGCGAACGCCGGCATGCAGCAATAGAATCCAGACAGTTAGTAGGGACCACTGTGGTAGAGGCAAAGCCAGCTAGCTTTGCAGCTCCCCATTAATTGGCGCGGCGGTGGAATGTAGAACTCGCAACCCTGGGGTCGTGGGTTCAATACCTATTTGGGGCACATTTAGTATTCCCCTTTCTCCTCGATTCTCCATTCTTTTCTACAAATTGTCCTTTGAAACACCTACGTGTTACAGATTTCATATTGCTTTCCATAGCGTTCCATCACACTTTCCCCGGGGATCCCAGCCTCTAAACACATTCAGAGCTAAAATGAGTACTTTCGCGGCGCATGGAAAGTCCCTACTTGGTGACGAAAACAAATCTCAACTAGAGCAAGGGCGTTTACAGGCCGCGGCACCAGTTGAGCCACACAAAGGGGCACACTCTCACCGAGGGGTGGCTGGAGGTACTTGGCTTCGATGCCCAGCGACATTTCCACCAGGGCTTGGGACAGCTGGCGCACTTCCTGGTGGTAGTCCAGATCATTCGCCAGCTTGTTACTGCAAACACGGATAAAACGGCTTGGCGGTCAATCCCCGAGGCACCTCTGTGACGGCATTTGGAACGGCAGAGTGCAGCGAACGACCAGTCTTGGGCAGTAACCCGGTACAGGTAACACATCACAGTAACTTTAAACCGTAACGCCTTACTTTCTTAAAAGTAACTTGCTCTTGTGGAACACAATGTTGACGAAAGTAAGCACTCTCGTCAACTCGACTGCCACGCACCACTCGATTTGGGCTGTTTTGCGATTAATGAAAGCAGAGTAAACTTTTTTGGACCTCCAGGAAATGTTCTGAATTAGGGAGTATGCAGACCGAGGAGCCATTATAAGACGAAGTATGATATTTCCCCCACTACAGTGCAACCCACTTACGATAATGAGAAAACCCGAAATTTCAATGGTTGTAACCTATTATCATTGTATCTGGACTAAAAACTGATAATTTTCAGACTAGAAACTGATCGTGATAAGCAGTATATCATTATATGTGGTATCGTTATAAGGGGGTTGCACCGTATATTTGGCGAGAATCGCCCGCCACAAGAAAAATCGGCGAGACACTGGCCCCACAACAGTGTCAAGCTATGCTGTCATATGATGTCACATGACCATGCAACCCATAGCGGCAAGAACCAAGTCACCTTCGTGTACCTGTACTGTAATTATTTCGTAACAAGTTTTTTCAATGCTATAGGGCTCGAATCCAGCCCAGAAATGCATTCTGCTTCAAATGTCATGCGTGTCTTTCTTTTCACTTCGGACATGCAACAGGAGAGACACTACCTCAAAATTGCAACTCTTTTAGTTCTTTCGAATTCACATTTTTCTAGGTATGTGCAAATAGTAAAGTTAAAGTTCTAAGCAAATTCGAAACAATGAACATAAATACTTGGATTTTGAGTAAGCTTCGTAGGGCACTTTTCCTTCGGCAAAAGGCACGCCAAAAGCACCCTAAAAAGGTTTGCAATTAATGGAGCATGGTTACTGCGAGTCGCCCACAAACAGCCGTACCGCAGTACCCTGCTGTGTCATGTTGGGAGCTAAAATGACATTTATGCAAAGTGTGGCAATGCAAAACTTTTGCCCTGCGTAATGAACACACCCTCCCAAATGTGTGTCAAGTTTTCACAGGGGAAAAAAAAAAAGAAAATGAAAGACGTTTACAACTCCCTGTACTTCCGAATTAGAGCGCAGCTCCTGAAGAGGAGGAAGGAGGGGACGGTATGCCCCTCCTCCTCATCTGTCCCCTCTCCTCCCTCCTCAACTACTCCTCCCCCTCTTCTTCTCATCATCATCATTATCATCCTCTTCTTCTTCTTCCTCTTCTTCCTCCTCCTCCTCCTCCTCCCCCCTACGCGGTGCAGTATGGAAAACGTCCCATAATGCACCAAGCGGTTACGCCGACGGCAACACCGCTCAAGCCGGAAACGGGCGCCTAAGAGCTGCGCTCTAAAAAGTGTGTTCATTATACGAGTAAATACGGTAGTGGTCTTGTTCGAATGTTTACAAATCGAATGTTGAATAGTTTTGCCAAGCCTTTCACTACTCTTGCACCATGCTTGTGAAAACCAAGCTGCACTCGTAAGGGTTGTCCTCAAGCTTCTTCTTGTCCATTTACAGTTGACTTGCACTAACTTGACCCCGTTCAAAGGTCCCGGCAAAAGCCCATACATTTCCATAAAAAAAAGAAAAAAGATTTGTTATACCAATGTTGAAATATAAAATATTGGTCAATTCGACCCAGAGAGATATGGCTGTGGGCAAATTACAAGCATGATCGGCCGTGTATGATACACAAAAACAGGCCAGTTACCAGCGTGACCGGCTGCGATCGTCAATGAGAAAACCAGTTTTTAAATTTTGAAGCGCGCGCTGAATTGCGAAGAGAGAAAAAGGGAGCACACGTCGAGAGACTGGACACGGGCGGGTCTCAACACAAAACAACCATTGCAACACCGCTGCGGAGCAGTGAGCGAGAGGGCCCGCTGATGACGTCGACACGCGCAACGGTGACGTTTGTCTTGTAGTCGCCGACGCAGAATGTGCGAAAGACATACACAACCGCTGCCAGCGCCGTGCGGCGGCTCTTTATAAAAATGTTAGCCCACCTAATCTAAAGCGCTGCATGTTCAGAATTTCGCACGCATCTTTTAATTCGACTTTCGGATGATTCAACCTAATTTTGCATGTCCTGTCAAGGTAGAATTAACGGACGTCGACTGTACAATCTGATTTTTATCCAACTATATTCATGGACCGTGGCCTCAGAAAGTCTGATGCCTCGGGATGACAAGCAATTAACGGATATGACATAAAATCACACCTATAGAAATGCCTAGCTATACCTGACTGAGTGAATTCATAAACCTTGCTATATGAAAATACCGGATTTATTAAAATTTAAGTCTAGCTTTTTTGGAAATATAAAAAATTAAGGGTCAACCGACAACTGCGATCAGAGAATTTCAACCTACATTCGTGACGAAATTTCGCGACCCTACCGAGTGCATGGAGCTAACAAGTCATCGAGCCGGCGTTGCCGTAGCGTCGTGCCCAGCTTCTTGTTTCAGAAAGCTTTTGGTGCACGAAAACAACCGAAGCAGCAGCAGCTGGTGGCGTTCACGTGCGCCCCTTGCGACGTAAGCACCTTGCCCCCTCCCCTCCATCCCTCTCCCCCTCGCAGAGTAGCAAAAGAAAATACAGAGGTTTCGCTTCCTGTTGCTCACGACGGCTCGCGGCGTTGGCCGCTTGCGTCTTTATATTTGGTCTTTCGTCGCTTTGCCCGTCTCCACATTCTTTTGTTTCTCGTTATCGCCATTTTGCAAATCTGTGAGGACGTTGACGAAGATGACGAAGCTTCCGACTATGACGACATGTCTGGAAGTTCTGATAATGATTACATTTTTGGCATCTCGCTGTGATTTAGCTGAAAGCAGTGTAAATAAAAATTTGTTTCATTATTTTGCCCAAACTTGCCTGTTGTTAAAAAATAGAAAAAAAAATTAACCTATGTCTAATTATTTTTTTGGTTTAATTCTCGGTGAGTTTAATATGAAGGCATCGACCTATATTTGTGATTGACTTATAGTTGAGTAAATAAGGTATTCTCTATTGCAACCCAAATCGAAAAAAAAAAAAAAAAATATTGAATGATGAATGCAGGTTGTCAGGGCACCTCTGCCCAACATATACCATCGCATAAGAACCAATTTAATTTTTAAAATTTTACTGCAATGCAGATATGTCAATACCCATAATTTTTCCTCATGCCGCTGGCACTTGACGGCTCATTGGCACAAGACCATGAAACAAGATGATACACCGTGTCTATTTAGCCGTTCCCGAATAAATTATGGTCAGTCCCCTTGGATTAAAAAAGGTAAAGGATTAGCACATTCAAAGGGTTCAAGTTCAACAGCTGATGAGTCAGCAGCTTTTGACGTTGATGCGGTATGCGGCCATGTCAGTTCATAATTATGTAAACAAATGCAACACAATACACCACGGTGGTCAGTAAACAAAACATACTAAAGAAAAAAATATTTTTATTTTATGTTAAGTTGCAACATGCGTGCTGAAGAGCAGGATGGCGCAGCGAATGTGGATTGGTGCACAATGGCGCAGTGCTTCCACCCCTGCCATTATCATTACTATTTCTAAACGATAGCTTTCCTCAGTGGGTGCAGTGTTTATATGATCTACCTTTACGCAACTTTTTGAAGGGTTGAGTTATATAAGCTTTAAGCTCTGCATGGCATTCTGTTTTGCAGCTATGAATTTGCCCGCATACTTTGCACAAATGGGACTAACGGCTCCAAAGTTCACCTTTCTATCCCTCAACAGCGCCACTTACAAAGAACCAAAAAACCCCACTTTTGCCTCTTTCTAAACGACTCTAGAAACCGCAACCAATGGAGAGGAGGCAGGAAGCGCGCGGGTCCACTCACATCTCAGCAAGGTCCTTCTGTTTCGACTCCACGATGGCCAGCAGACTGTCCAGCCGCATCCTCCACTTGTCGCGGTTAACCTGCAGCAGAGTGCGGGTTTTGGACGCGGTCCCGGAGCGACGGAGGCCTCGAGTTCGGAGCTATCCGAAAAAAGGCGGCGGTCTCACCTTTATGATGCCCAGGCTGCCCTGGTATAGGCGGTCCTCCATCTCCAACAGGGCCTCTCGGAACCCATAAACCTGCGCCAGACGGGACTCGAAACCTGCCAGGACGGACGGCTTGGGCCAGCCGGATCCCTGGAGGAATGCAAGTCGGAGCGGAAGGCTTTGCAACGTCCCCTTTATTCGCGCGGCAAATTTCACGACCTGGATACCGCAATCTCTTTATGGCATGGGTTCTCAAAATGTGTTCTTAGGAAGGGATACCCGAGCTCCGAAATTTTCGGGGTTGTGCCAGCCCGCAAGTAATGTGGATTGCGAATGAAAGGACCTGAGCAGTGAGGATGAGCGCAGTCAAAATATAAACGGACATTTCTTCGATTTCCATTGCCTTTTCGCTTCTGCTATGTCCCCGAGTGCAGTAAATTTACGCGACCTTAACTCGCGTTACAATGGAAATAAATTTCTTTTTTTCTTCTTCTTCTTTTTGAGTGCATACCTGCTATCATGTTATATTTGTGGTCGCGTTATATTCACACACATGTGGTATTAGGCTTAGCCAAGTGTCAGCTTAGAGAAAAACTGTTTTTCTCTTGTATGTACAGTATAGACCACTTACAACGTAACCGCTTATAGTGCAGGACCGGGTATAACGCGGCTTTTTTAAACCACCGGTTCACCTCCCATAGAACTCCATGTAATTAAATACCGCTTAAAATGCAGGCGCACGAAGAGAAATACAGTTAAACCTCGATTTAACGAAGTTGACTGGAGCCGCAAATTACTTCGTTACATCGCGGAATTCGTAAAATCGGGAAATGCATTTTTTGGCCATTAGATTCGATAATTACGACTTCAATGCAGCGGCATCCAAGCTGCTTCCGCGGCACCGTATTAAAGCTTTCAATTCTCAGGAAAAGAACACATTTATTGCTGAAGAAAGAAGCTGGTGATCTTCGACTGCGAGCGCTTCGTCAAAAGCGGAAGCACGCACTTCTCGTAAGCGGTGAGCGCGTTGAAGGCAGCTGCAGTTCCCTCGTGGGCACCCGCGAACCGCCTCAGGAGGTCAACTGCATCCATTACCTGGCTTGGTGTTGGCACGGGGTCCTCGACTGCTTCTGCGTCATCTGCTTCGGCGTCATCTTTCTGTCCAGTAGCGACGAGCCGCAGTATCTCACTGTCGTCCAGGACCTCCGTTGTCTGAATGTCGGCATCGGCGTCGTCTCTTAAGTAATCTCCGAAGCTGGAGTCTTCAGACACGTGGCCCAGTTGGCGAAGCGCTTCCCAGGAACTGGGCGTGGCCTCTTGGTTCGGGAGTTCAAGGCTGGACAGATCCTCGGAGTCGGACGTTTTGAAACCGGCGTGCCTGAAGCAGTTCACTATTACCGACGTCCTTGTCGCCTTCTATGACGCCGCTACCAGAGCGATAGCCGTGTAGATGTCGATCTTCGTGGCTCGATCATGCTCGAGGTTCAGCAGCAGCTTGTCGATAACCCGACACTTGTACGCAGACTTCACGCTGTTTATAATGCCTTGGTCGAGTGGCTGAATGACTGAAGTGGCGTTCGGAGGGAAGTAGCGGAGCTCCACGTTTGTCAACTCGAGCTGCGGGACGTAGTGCGCCGTGCAATTGTTTAGCAAAAGGCACACTTTCCTTTTTTGGCTGCACATGTCGACATCGAATTCCTTCAACCACTTGCCGAAAATCACGCGCGTCATCCAGGCTTTGCCGTTTGCCTCGTACTGCATGTCAAGCTCTCTGCATCCTTTAAAGCAGCGCGGGTTCACACTCTTTCCGATGATCAGTACTTTTCGCTTGTCGGTCCCATCCATATTGACGCACAGCAGCATCGTCACCCTCTGCTTGCTTTGCTTGCCGCCGTGACAGGACGCACCTTTTTGGGCAAGCGTTCTTTTCGGTAGCATTTGATAGAAGAGACCGCTTTCGTCGGCGTTGTATATGTCCCTGGGGGCATAGCTTGTTAGGATGTCCGGTACATTCTCAGACAGCCAGTCGCCGGCCTCAAGCCTGTTGACGCTATTTTCCTCGCCGCATATCACCTTGCCAACAACCGCGTAACGCCCTTTAAAACGCGTCAGCCAGCCAGAACTTGCTTTGAAGTCATCAAAGCCCAGCAGACATGCAAAACAGAGCGCTTTCCGTTGTAGCACTTCCCCGGATATTGGAACGTTCTTGGCTCGCATGTCCATAAACCACGCGTAAAGTGCCTCTTCCAACTTTTCGTACGGCGTAGTCTTCAGGTTTTTCTTTTTCGTCGCCTTCCCTGACGAAGCCGCTCGAAGGATAGCGTCCTTCCCCTTCAAGATCGTTGACAACGTGCTCGCTGGGATGCCGTGCTCTGCAGCAACGTCGCATTTTTTACGTCCACTGGCAACAGCGCTTATTGCCTTCGCTTTTTCTTCTAGAGAGAGAACTTTTCTTTTCTTCTTTGGCGGCTCCATTTGACAGCGACGCGGACGTGTTGGTAGAGGAATCCAAAGTCGTGACAACACGAAGTACCCAGGAACAAAGAAACACGGATCTCGGCTCCGCAAACGGCCAAAACGACGGCGAACGTCGGCGGCGCCATCTATTGCACGCGACGTGAAATACCTCCGCCAGCGCCATCTGCTATAGTTTACACAAAGCTCGTGATGCACAATTCGTTTTTGTTTTTGCGTGGAGTTCCGTAAAATACAGACTTCGGGTTCCTCAATGTTACTGATGCACCATAATGACAATCTTCCGAGTCTTTCATTTTGAAATATCCGTGAAATGACCTCGTTTTACTTGCATTTATTTTCAAAAAAGCTTCGTTAAATCGGAATATTATTTCGTTATTTCTAGTTCAGAAAAGCATTGAGCCCTATGGGCACCTTACAGAGAATCAAAATTTCTTCGTTAGATCGCGGAATTCGTAAGATCGGGTTTCGTAAAATCGAGGTTCAACTGTACCGGTTATAGTGCAGTTTCTGGCACAGCTCGTCGACCGACCGGCGGAGCGAGCACGCTTCCCTGTGCGACACCAGATAACGGCGCTAGCCGCAAGCGGCACTCGCGGGGCAAGGAGGTTGCTCGAAGAAGCAGGGAGAAGCGAAGAGTGAGGGTTCAGTTGCCATAGCGACGGAAAGACACACGCACGTGTCGTTCACGTGCGTGCGTCCCTGCTAACCATACCATACCTCGTTGGAAAATGATCTCTATGGTTGGAAACAACCGCAACGACAGACAAATCGCAGGTCGAGGAGAAATGTTCGTGCGCATTGCATGCCGGTCGTGGGCCGGCTCATCTATCCGCACACATGGCGTCGTTGGAGATCGTCAACGTAGACAGCGTGGTGGAAGCTCATCGTTCCGCGTAAAGGCGCTATCCTTGACTGTGAATTTTCGTTATGTGTCGTTATGGTAACCCGGCACGTACTAGAAGGGAAGATCCACTTACTCCCGCAGCGATGTCGTGGCGGCACTCTCAAGACAGCAGAAATGCCCGTGTCGTTGTGTTTGTTTACTTAGACTACAGTAGTGCTTTCTAAGCATTTGTGTTTTCGAACATCGCCCGGATTTCTTATTTGGAGCATTTCATGCGTGTGTTCAAGTTGAAGGTATTACTGGCGCGTACCATATAAAGGATGCGAATTTTCACGCGTTTTCATCACCGGAGAAAAGTCATTAAGGTTAGCAATCCTGAACGCTCGCAATGTCCGTCCGCAACCCGCGACGCCGTCAAAAGGCTGCGCCAGGCAAAAGTCACTATTTCTTTCAAAATGTGTAACACACTTGAGAAAGAAGTGTACTAGTCTGGTAAAATAAAGACTTTCCTCAAACTAAGCTTTATTTTTCATTTAATATAAAATAAATTGTTTTACAAAGGTAAGCTGTCTCATGGCATGTATTTTGGCCTGAAAAATTGATGTTTTGGTTATAGCGCAGTACCGCTTATAGTGCGGATTTTCGCGACTCCCGCGACATACGTTATATGCGGTCTACACCGTATTCAAATCACGTCATGCTCTGAAACTTTCGCATTCTATCACCACCGCCAGTGTCACATTCTCACAGAAATCCAGTTTTCTGCGACACACAGGTTATTCATCATCGTCATTTATTTACTCGAGGGTATGGGGGGCAATATACGCGGGGGTGGCAATAAAATAAAAAATAGAACAGTAAACAAAAATGTAACACTCTAAGCTAGTTAGATAAAAACAGGGCAATGGATTCAACAGATTAAGCAGTGTCTTCTATAGAAACAATGTTGTGAGGTGGCGAGTTCCAATCCTGAATGGTAGTGTGGAAGTCTGGCGAGAAGCTGTTGATGATTGAACTGGACATAGTTTACATGGGTGATCTAAACGAGGAAAAATACAGTGAGGAGGCAATAGTAATGATTCTCCAAGGTGGGTATTGATATAGAAAACTCAATAGGAGAAAGTTGCGACCCTGGGCGGCAAAGGTAAAGTGAATGGAGGGTAGCCGATTCGCGTAACCCTGACATGCTGGTGTGTGTTGAGAAGTTATTACAAATAAAACGAAGGGCTTCCACGGAGACCATATGGACGAGGGGTGTTCCAACGTAGACCTCACAAGAATAGTGTGCGCTAATCGTTTTACGGAGTGTGTGGCAAGTTTGAGGTTTCAACGGAAATATCCGAGAGTACGGTTCACATCAGTAATAACACAGGTCATGCGACTAGCCCACGATAGGTCAGAAGTGAGATGAACACCCAGGTATTTATGAGGTGAGCAGGCTGTTACTCGAGTGCTAGCGAGGTAATACGAAAATGATGCGGCGTGTGAACGGCCGAAAAATCGACGAAAATGGGGCCGAAAAACCGGGTTTCATTTTTTTGATCGGGCTCGGTAACAACGTCGCTCTCACCTGTAGGCGCGAGGATTTCCGGACCTCCCCATCGGGGACGGCAGCCTCGGGGGGCCAGGTGAGCTCCGTGTTCAATCGCTGGCGAGGACAGCGCGCTACCAGCGACTCCAGGGAAGGCTGGTCCCGTTTCAGTGTGGCCCGCAGCTTGCTCTCCCGGAAGCCTCGCTGGGGAAAGGGAAGACAAAACTGGCTGTCATAATGGGCATCTCTCACAGGCATTCCAAATGCACGGCACTTATGGGTCAAATTCGCACTGCGCGAAGCAGACACAGCCTCGCGCGATACTACGACGTGATGAAGTCATGTAGCACCATGACATCGCGGGAATGTGCGACATCATTATGTCAAGAGAAACTGCGATGCAGTTACCGTATGTCATGCAAAACTGAAACGTCCTTGGAATACGATGACGTTAAGGAGCAATGACGTTTGACAAAATCCTGGCAGAGGCAAGGCGGCGGTGGAGAACACGGCAGACGTCTGTTCTGTCGCAGGTAGCTCTTCAGCTCGACAGTCCGGGAGGGCTTCGTGACCAACGCTTGTGTCCCCTCATACTTTTTGGCATAACTTCTAGAACCAATTTCCAGGATCGTGACTTCAGACGGCTCCCAGCGACGCAACGTGTCACCGGGTCGTAGCCCCCTTCGGTGTATGGGCAGTATGGGAGAATAACCGCACCAGTAAAGATGCATTCCAGCCACCATACCTCTATTAGTGTTACTACTGAGACAATTCGACCTGAATGACTTTTGGGGTGCATGCAATGAAACTTGGTGTCTTGAAATGAGCTGCAAAGGAGCTCAAACTTTCACCGAATAATCATTTCGGCAACGAATTTGACCCGACGGAATTTCACGGCAAGTGCGTCGCCTAACTGGAGATGGCGCACGAGTTAGAACCAACGCTAAATCGGTTATCCAAAGGCACTTCCGCCGTTGACCCCGGCAAGTTTATCGGTCTTGTTCTTCGACGGAAGCGAGTTACGCCTCGGAATTTCGCCGGGTAAAATCCACCACCCAAATGCACGTTCGGCTAAAGTGTGAGCTTTTTATGTGTAGCTACCCATTTTGTTTTGAAGGCTTGTATGTTTTGGTTTCTTCAACTCCGTCCCCGACAGTATGAATTCCTTGAGCCCCCGAGTTCCCTTAACCGTCACTGCCAGGAAGTAATCTTTGCCCTAGTTTAAGCACTATTTTAGCAGGTCTGAGCCAGCTGTTGATGCATATTGATGAGCAAAACAGTGTCTATTAACACAGACTATGTATCGGCTGGTTTTCAAGGACTTCTGCAAAGTTTGGTTGTAAAAGAAAACCAACACCAAAAAGCGTCACACCCATAGACCGATCTCACGAAGCGTTCGGCGCACGCATGACGCCACCATAACTTTAGTTCACGGGAAGCAGACGGCTGTGCATGCGAGGGCTCGTGCCGTCTCATGCTCCACAAGCGCAGAGCTCCAGCAGGGTAATTGCTTGTGCAGAAAGACTAAAGTTCCCTCGATGCATCGCGGCAGCAATGGCGTAGTCAAACTGGCTGGTGAGATTGGTCTATTGGGAACCGTATAAAAAGAGTTCCATCCCACAGCAGGATTTGAGCTCACCGCCTCGAGATAGTGAGTCAAGTATTTCACCGACCGAGCTATTCAGGGCTGGTGGTACGGACCACGCAATAGCGAGCTCACTTGTGAGGCACACGATTGAGCTTGCGCGTTTCGCGGCTTTTCTAGTTTTGTAGCACCATCTTATGGCGTGTGTCAGAAAGGAAAGCGAATCTTTGGCAGGCGGTGCCGTTCACATGCCCTTCTCTTTTCCCCCGAAAGACCTATAACACATTCTGATCTCATCAGTCTTTGTCAGCATGATCGGGCTTGCATAATTCTTTGTACGTTATCGTTTGCAAGGTTAGTAGGCTTCTGCAGATTTAATGCATCAATGCCAAATCTGGTGGTCCTTGGCTATCAATCGAGAAATACTACCACAAAATAATCCCAGGACCCCCGCTTCAAAGACCATTCCACTAAGGGCGCTCTGGGTGGTGCCATTTTGTTTGACTGCAGCACCATCTACGTACATCAGAGCATTTAAACGGGTCGGCGGGGTAAGAGAAGGAAAGAGCACGTGCCCAATTCCAATAGCAGACGATAAACCGCCCATCCCTCACGTACACTGCAACCAATTTGGCGGGAGAGAAGAGGGAAAGGGCCGTCTTCTTCATCGTTTGGGCAGTTCTGGTGGGCTCTACCGCCTGAACTGCCCAAACACGTCTGTCCCTCCTCACACCCTAGCAGAAGGGTTTACATAATAAGTAAAGGTTAGCCGCAGACATTACGAAGGCTGGCAAGGTGGCACGAGCTGGCGCCCGTTTCGAAGGACTCGTCCCCACCTGATTGAGGGCACCCAGGAGCGTGGAAATGTCGTCCCGGCTAGCCACGAACGACCAGTGCGTGGCCGCCTCCTGCCCGTGCACCGTGCAAGTTGCCGGCACGCCCGTGCACGTGCCGTGGGGGTGCACCGCGCCCGTCGGCGCCGGCACGTCGCACTTCTCCAGCACCACGCACAGCTCCCGCTTGGAATCCAGGCAGCCGTTGACCACCACCCCAGTCGGGGGCGGCACGGCGGCCACCACGGCGGGGGACACGTCCGCCGAGGCACGCCGGGACACCCTGGGATTCGAGTCTCCCAGGAGGAGCTTCTGGGCCTTGGCCTCGGCGCTCGGGGCACGCCGTTCCATGGCCTCCTGGTTCTCCTTGTCGCTCAGCACGTCTCCGCCCTCGGAGCCCTGCAGACCAGATTCCCAACGGTCCTTCAACAGCGGATCGGATGCGAAAATACCGAAAGGCCACAGCCTGTGGATACGGTCCTGGCTGCATTTTACCGTATTTACTCGCATAATTAATGCCCTTGCATCATGGACTAACCCCTGAAACACTCATATGAATTAAATTTTTTTCGGCGACAGCGGCAAGTGATTTGTTCCCCGGTTTCGCGACGGCGTGAGCATAAACGAAAAGTTTCCCCGCTAAATTTGGCAGGAAAATTAATGCCAAGTGACCTGATGCCACGGGACCGACAGGCAAATTCAGGTTCCCTGCTAAATTTAGCTGAAAACTTTACGTCACGCCACCTATGCCCCAACTCAGTTTCCCACTAAATTTGGTGGGAAAACACATCACGACCCTAAAATCATTTATTCGTCAACGATGTTTTGAAGCTAAACCAATGCAACATATCATTTCAATATCTGATTACCATATGACGCACAATCGGCGCAACGTCAATCGATTGTCATATTGTTGAATAAGCAGCCCGGCTGTTTCTGTCTAAACGCATCACGTGTGATGCCGTGCAATTTTTTTCTCGTGCATGATGAATGAACTTTTATTATTTGGCTCTGCGACTCAGCTAACCACCTTAAGTAAGCTGCCAAGCGCCCAGGCTGGGCCTGGTAAAGCCAAGCGTAACAGCAGATGGGCGCATTACAGCGGCAAGTAGGAAGTTGCGGAGGTGATCGGCAGCGTAACTGAGCAGCGTGCACAGCCAACAAAGCTGGGGTCGAGGAACTGTCCAGCCCCCGAAGGTGTTTCGTCTGTTGGATGCGTCAATGTAAACACAGACGACACAGACGACATATCTATGGTGCGAGGTAAAAAGCCAAGCACACGCCAGTGTACTTTTTTCTATGCCTCCTCTACTATACACTGTCGATAGAATGTTTGCCGAATTACCCAAGTGCCAAGGGGGACACTGGGAATGTAGGTACACACGCTTTCAATGCCTGTACAAAAGATTAAAAGTAAACCACCAAAAGGTGATAACGAAGGCACCTGCAAAGTGCCATTTGTTAATTTTTTTTTTTTTCTTTTTGCTTCGGAGCAGTTACTGACGACAGCAGAACGGTACACGTAACGCCGCCAACAGTGTGCTGCTTGGTGCTTCAATGATTTAGCAAAAAGGCCTATTCGGCACGCTACGACCTTAGAGTCACGGCACGGCTCCCTAAGTTTGAACAGACGGGCCTGAAACTATGGTGCCTGGAATGTGTCTTCGACTGGTGTTTTCATCGCATGCTAAAATGTGCTTGCTCGATTTCTGCTCGACGACGTCGTAGAAGCCATCTTGGCAGGCCGCCAAGACGTCGCAGGCCGCCATCTTGGCAACGCCGCAGCAGCGGTGGTGGCTGCGGCAGACGTCTGTTCCACTGCAGGTCACTCTTCAGCTTCACACCGCACAAAAGCTTCGGCAGCCGTAGTTGGGGATGCCGTGACTTCAGAGACGCTCTCGTTCGGTCATGCTTTTTTCCAGAACTTCTACGCCCAACCGCCTGGATAGCTACGTCCAAAAGCTCGACACCCGAATATTCAAGTTGAATTTGTTGCCACTTCAGGACCACTTTCGATGGATGGGCGAAATGGGACGCCAAACACACCAATTGGAGACACATTCCAGACACCCATACCAAAAGTGAACGCAGGAAGACCCCCACCTTGTCTCCTCGGTGCCTGAGCAGGAAGGCCTCCATGAAGGTGACCGAGGGGTTCTTGGGCATCTCTCGCGGCACCAGTGGGGTCCCTCCCGGCAGACAGCCCCCCGGGTGGGCCCCTCCCTCCTCGATGAGCAGCCCCGGCAGGGACTGGAAGGCCCAGTAGCGCCGGTGGCAGCGGTCCTGTCCCAGGGGCTGCAGGCACCACAGCCGCTGCTGCTGCTCCACCTGCAAAGGAGGGAGGCTTGGCAGGGACAAAAGGAATCCGCCGTCGCGTCGGCATTGTGTCGACGTTATCTCGGCATCGTGTAAACATTTCCTCGGTGATGTGTTGGCGTGACGTCGGCAGTGTGTCGGAGCTGCGTCGACGCTGTGTACAAGTGTCATCGGTGCTGCGTTAGAGTTAAAAGTAAGCATTGTGTTGACATCATATCGGCAAGGCCCTTGGCATTGCATCATAGATATGTTTGCATATGTCGACACTTCATTGGTGGTGTTGGTGTTACATGGCAGCGAGTTGAACTAGCGGTGGCATTGTGACGAAGGTGTCAAATTCACTTCGGCACTGTGTTGAAGTTTTACTGGTACTGCGTTGGTGTCATGTTGGCAGGCTGTCGGCACCGTGTCGAAGATTCATGAGCACCATTGCGGCATTACATTGGCGGGGCATTGGTCTTATATTACCATATTTCCATGAATATAACTTTTCTTCAAAATTACGTGCTCCAAAACACACCTCGCGTTACATTCACAATCAAGCTCAGACACGGGGCACGCGAGTCTGGAGAACGTCATCCCTCTAGCTCAAGGCAGGAGATCGGGCGGGAAAATAAGTGGGGTGTGGGAGGGAATCTTTTATCTATTGGGCCACGTGAAGGGGGGAATAGAAAATATAAAAAGCATTTTTAGAGTGCAGCTCTTAGGGGCCCGTCCTGGCTTGAGCGGCGTCGCCGTCGGCGTAGCCGCAACTCTCGTAACCCTCGTGAGGGTTACGAGGGTTAATCTCATGAGGGTTACCCTCACGAGGATCACGAGGGCCACGAGGGTTAGTTACCCTCAAAAGGGTTACCTTCACGAGGGTTACCCTCACGAGGGTTACTTACCCTCGTAACCCTCACGAGGGTTACGAGGGTTAGTTACCCTCAAAAGGGTTACCTTCACGAGGGTTACCCTCACGAGGGTCACGAGGGTTATGAGAGTTACCCTCACGAGGGTCACGAGAGTTGCCCTCACAAGGGTTACTTGGGTTACCCTCACGAGGGTCACGTGACCCTGAGGGGGGGGGGGGGGGGGTCACGTGACCTGGGGATACCCCCCGAGGTCACGTGACCCCCCGTTGACGTCATAGCCACTGATGACATCATCAGTGACGTCACTGATGACGTCACCGGCATCCGCATCGTCATCATCACTGATGACGTCATCGGCATCGTCACGTGGCCCCAGGTCACGTGACGCCCCAAGGTCACGTGACTCCCACAAAGTCACGTGACTTCCCGCCCCCCCAGGTCACTTGACCCCCCCCCCCCCCCTCCCAGTACCCTTCCCTCCTCCTCCTCCTCAAGAGCTGCGCTCTAATTCGGCGTTACAGGGAGTTGTAAACGGCTTTCATTTTTTACTCGCGCAAAACGCACGCCGAAAACCAGCGCACCACGCGGGAATGCGGGCACTGGTCAATCCAAGCCAACACAAGCCAAGCCAAGACCACCGACCGTGTTTACGCAATCGTGCAACACGAGGCGTTTGTTCACGCGGAGGGACCAAAACAAGAATGAGTGTGATCGTGTATCGGGTCCAGCAATCTTTTTTTTCTGCCTGCATATTTTTTAGTTTCTGCTCCACAGTGGTCTGGTGTTGGTGCCTCTGCTTCCTGTCTTGATTTGCTTGTGGGCTGCCGAGGAGCTCACACCGAAGAAAAAGGATCTACCAAACAAGCGGTGTCGTGCTGCTCCTTATCTGCGTAGTCGCCAAATGGACTGCAAACGGAAGGACCTGAGCAAGGAGGATGAGTGCAATTGAAACATAAACTAATATTTCTTCTTTCCATTGCCTTTTCACTTCTGCTATGCACCCAAGTGCGGTAAATTTTTTCACGACCATAACTCGCATTATAATAATAATTTTTTTCTCTTTTTGAGGGCATCAAACCTGCCCTCGCGCTATATTCGTGCCAATACGCTAACATTAAATCGGTGGAGAGTCAGTGTTATGTTGGCATACAATCAATGTCTCATTGGCGTTGTGTCAATATTGCATTGGCGCTACGTCGGGACGTCGGCACCCACCTGCTGGCGCAGGGCTTGCTCCTTGCGTTCCAGCTCCTCCCTCTTCTTCTGCAGCTGCTGAGGATTCAGGGGCTCCGCCACTTCTTCCTTCTCCTCGGGGACGGACGCCTCCGGGGCCTCGCCAGAACTGCGGGGACCAGACATTGCAGTAAGCTCTAGCGACGTACTGGAGTTTATGCCCCCTCCAGAGGTTTAGTGGACCAACACAACCCACAGCAAATGCCGGTGATCCCTATAGAAACGCTCAGCAGTGAAGCCTGCAAGTTCATACACATGCCTCCTCTTCCAGGACATGGAGAACTCCAAATTTCCGACTCCTTCAGAATTTCCAAATACAGTAAACCCTTTGTTAACTCGAAGTAATAGAAACTAGAAAAAAATTCGAGATAAGCGAGGTACAGAATTTTCATTGCACTGATCGCCCATCGTGTGATTGGAACCTTTCCAACAATCGCACCAATGGCCGTGACAGCAAAATCAAAAAGCAAGAAAAAAAAAGTCAAAGGAGCCTTAAAAAAATACTAAAAGAATAAGAGTGGAAGATAAGGTTTGTGGCACCTACGGCCAAGCATATCAGGCGGAAAAAAAAAACTTCTTTGAAAAGCATCCGGATTTCCATTGCCCGCTCGTGACTGGGGACTTTTAAAAATAATTTTTGCATGTTGTCGTGCATGCAATGATGCATCTTTTTTTTTTTTCTTGTGCGTTTCTTTTTGGACTATTCTTACTCAACCAATGTTTAGGCCACCAGTTCATTAATTGCTGTGCCCTGCCTGCTTTTATAAATATTGGTTGTAGAGATTTTGAGATATCCAAGGTGGGTCCTGAAAACTTTTCAAGGTAAGTGATAAGTAAATGCATTGTTCCTATGGGAGTTCATTCCATGACAAGGAAATCTTTCAACTTAACCGATATTTCGAGATAGCCGAGTTCGAATTAACGAGAGATTACTGCAAACATTCGTTTGCAAGGTATGGTGCACGAAAACGGGTGTATGTTGCAGAAATAGAAACCCCTTCTGCAAAAAAAAACAAAAAAACTTTTGTGCAGGTAACTACACGAGACTAACATCACACATGCTTCTGTTCTCTTACTATGCCTTTTGCACCACAGAACACTGCTCCATTGGCTGTTGCAAACCATTTCTACTGCAAGCACTCATTTGTGTGGGTCAGAACGTGGTTAGTAGTTTGTGTAGTGTTACAAGCACAGCACTGTACATTCTTGTTTTGCCTCAGCTACATTTTTACACATATTCTAGGTTGAAATGTTTTATTAATTTTTCTTCCCGCATACCAGACCCCACATGACCGAGAACAAAAGGGACCGAAAAACGTCTATACTTATATGTAAGATTTTCAAGGGGATGTCCCGACTGTTTGAAAGGGACAATAATTCAAAACCTTTTGGTTCGATATAATCGGGCACAAGAGAGATGGGCGTTCCTCAAAAGTGTGAGAGCTCCTACAAGTGGGGGAAGCAAAACGTGGCAGAAGGCTAAAATCATGAACGCAACAAGATGGCAAGTTTCGGGCTAGCATACTCCGTCCCGGGGAGTGTGTGCCTCGAGAAAAATCGACCATCTCGCCGACGGCTTCCAGAATGAAAAAGCCGCTCACCCGTCCTTCTTGACCTCAGGCTCCTTAGACTTGTTTTTCTTCCTGCAGAGGAGAGAAACAAGTAAGCACTTGTCTAGAAGGACATTCTCTGCAGCATGCACGACCCACTTTCCAAGAAGCCAAAACAATGCCAGAGCTCCACGCGGCACCGCAAGATTTTACAACCGTTCCCAATACAAACACTGATAAAACGGCAGGCCTCAAATACGCTGGTGCCTTTCTTCGAATTTCCATCAAAGAACGTAAACTCGATTGGCGAGTTTCAGTCGTCGCTTCCGGCGCACGGCATGCAAACATACCAGAGTCTGAATCCAAGAGGGTGCCGACACAATGACTACAACAAACTCTTAGCCGAAGGGTCACGCAGCACTCGTGTCCCTTACGTGCCAAAAAAATGTGCAGCCACAGCCGACCGTCAAATTTTTTCCACAACGATGGTTTCAGATAGTACCGCCATTACTAGAAACTAAGCCCACCCTTTTACGGTAGAATCTCAACCATACGAATCTCTCGGGGTCACAGAAAATATTTGTATCATCCGAAAGTCGCATCATTAAAAACGGGCTCTAGAAAGGTCATAAGATGTGAGTGAAGATGTTCTTTCTTGGAGATTGCGCCGGGAACCGACGGCGGAGGCAGCTGATGGTCGCTGACGGAAGAATAAACCAGACAGGACTCCACGGGTATGGGGAAGAAAAAGAACACGTCTATTTACAAGCGAAGATCATTTTCGAATGTCTCCAGAAGGTTACACCACGTGCTGCCTTCGTCTTCTTTTTTCTCAAAGCCCCCCTTGCCCCAGCTCGCACGAGCGTCGCCAGTTCACCCACACACAGGGGCGCACGTGCAAACGCCAACACGCAATGGAAGAAAAAGAAGCTCGGTCCTCTTCCCGCGTCCACACACGGTGATGGCGGGGCCGATTCTCACACCTCCCGACTAAGTATATTTTTTAGACCCAAAATGTCAAAAATAATATATAACAACTAAACTCAAACGCGTACGCATATCAGACACACCTTACACAGAGTTTGTGACTCACCCCGTCAGAATCCAAACTATCAAAAAAATGTACACCAAAATGCCAATCACACGCCAGTAAAGTGATTCTTACTGCGCCCGCCAAGGCTCCAAAGCAGTAACAAATCTCGCGCCGAGACTAGCGCAGCATCTAGCCTCCTAGCCTAGGCCTCTTTGCCGACAGGTTATTCAAGCCACCCAGATTTTGGCGGGGCTTGAATCGGACGGCGTGTAGCTGATTCCGGAATTTCTCCGCGCAAGAGCGACGACAGTTTATACTCTGTCTTGATTTACGAATCCGGAAAAGGCCTCGCAGGCGGTCGCCGTTGTCGACGTCTTCTGCACTCCCAGCTCTCTCATACGTGGCCGGCTGGTAGGTGGTCGAGTTTTCATCGGCGTCCCTAGCTATATTCTGGGACCACTTCATCTCGAAGATGGCGTCCTCGTCGCTGTCCCCGTTTTCCCTGACGTCTTCACCGGCCGGCTGTGACGTCAGCCACTCTAACAAGATGTCCGACTTCTTGTTGACACCCACTTCCCTGCCGTGGTCACTATCCGCTTGCCAGAACGTGTGCCGCCAAAGCAAGATATTCGGTTCTTTCTCGTCGTCGACGTTCACGTTCTCGTCGTGATCATCATCCGCTCGAAGAAACGCCTGCCGCCCAGGCAATAAGTTCGGTCCTTCGTCGTCATCCACGTTCTCGTGATCGTCGTCCTCGGCTGGCCAAAACGCCTGCCGCTCAGGCAATAAGCTTAGTCCTTCGTCGTCGTCCACGTTCTCGCCGTCGTCATCTTCGGCTTGCCGGCATTTCCGCCTCTCGGAAGATACCCTCGGTTCTTCTTTGTAACCGCCGCCCATGTTCTCAACGTGGTCGTGATTGGCTTGTTGGAACTTGTGCCATTCAGGTAAGATGTCGGGACTGGCCTTGACGTTGTCGAAGTTCACACATGGGTCGTCCTCAGATCGCCGAAATGCCTGCCGCCCAGGCCAAGTGCACGGCCTTTCGTCGTCGACGTTCACCTGCTCGTCGTGGTCATCTTCGGCTCGCTGGGACGTCCTCCCGGCACGCGAGACGTTCAGCTCATTCCTGCCGTCAACGTCCGCCTGCACAGACACGCAGCCGCGATTGTTCTTCGACGACCGCTCCGTGTCGTCGGCCTGTAACAGAATCTGAGGCGCCACGCGAATCGATGGGTCCCTCCTCTTCTGGCCTCGGTGGTCCAAGTTGTTACCGCCGATCTTGCCCACCACGGTCGTCACCTTGTTGGGCTTACGGCTGCAATCTTCCTCCACTTTGACTTTCTTGGCGTCTACTTTTTTCTTTTGAAACAGAAGTTCTTCGTCTGGTGTCTTCGTCCGGGGACATTCGCGGGAATAGTGCCCCAATTCCTTGCATTTAAAACACTTCACCCGATAATTTTCAGGTACGATGCCCTGCCTTGGGCTCTCGCGTTTTTCCTTGAGAGAAGTGGTGGTTTCAATAAAGGGACTCAAGACCTCAGCTCCAGACAGTCCGAGCTCTAACAAGACCCGTTCTTTGACCGCACCATACCCACTTCTCTCACCCGTGTTCACCCTATTCACTAGTGCACGCATGCTCTCCGTGAAATAAGGTCGCACAAGATATCCTCTGAGCCGCTCAGGGACTTCATACGTCTCGAAGAAGTTTTCTACGCCATCAAGCCAGCTCGGCACTAATATGTCGGAAGACGGCATGGGAGTCAGCACTCCCTTCATCAATCTCGAAAAGCGAAAAACTTCATCTCGGAGGTTGACCTCCATGCCGCCTCCACTGGCTCGCCTTCGGTTTTCCGAGCGTAGTTGTTCTAGTTCTAGCTCGAGGCGTAACAGACGTTCTTTCTCCCTTACTAGTTCAATCTCCTTTTCGATTGAGCTGTATGATCGGACTCCTCCGTTCCCATCCCCTTGTGTCTGCGAGTTTGCCACTAATCCACTCAAAGGTGACAATTCACCTGGCCCGTCAACATTCCAATTCCGAACCCTATCCTGCTCTGGCGTTAGAACCGGCATCCGCCGCTCTGCGCTGTCTGTATCCATGGCGGGCACACGTCTAAGAATCACCTTACCGTAAGGTCAACGATTGCCACTGGATCACAGACGCAGCCCGCTGCTCAGAATAGTCAGGCACGAAATGATGTCCGAGCTGTAGACTCAAGCGTTCCTCGCTGGAGTGGGACGGCATCCGGTCAGAGGTAGCTCTGCCACCACGAAGTAGCTCGGTGGTCCAATCTTCAAGGAGCCCGGTGGTCCAGTCTTCTCTTTAGAAGGCTCCACCAATGCCGCGTCAAATCGCTGTCCGCCGATTCCGTTGTGAAGATCACGCCGCCGGGGTCCGCTGACGCAATCCTGTCGACTGCGCCAGTGAAGATGTTCTTTCTTGGAGATTGCGCCGGGAACCGACGGCGGAGGCAGCTGATGGTCGCTGACGGAAGAATAAACCAGACAGGACTCCACGGGTATGGGGAAGAAAAAGAACACGTCTATTTACAAGCGAAGATCATTTTCGAATGTCTCCAGAAGGTTACACCACGTGCTGCCTTCGTCTTCTTTTTTCTCAAAGCCTCCCTTGCCCCAGCTCGCACGAGCGTCGCCAGTTCACCCACACACAGGGGCGCACGTGCAAACGCCAACACGCAATGGAAGAAAAAGAAGCTCGGTCCTCTTCCCGCGTCCACACACGGTGATGGCGGGGCCGATTCTCACAATGTGCATACATACTCGGTGAGAAAGGGTGGTTTTGGATGAGAAACTTACCGCAGGCACTGCAATACCACCAGTAGTGCACAGCCTCCAGGATTGGTGGACTGTTTCCTTTTTTGTTTTGTTTTTTTCACCTTTTTTGTAGACGTGACTAAAGAGCCTCGACTGGGGCTAGAACAAAACGCTCTACCCCTAGCCATGGCTCTCTAGCCGTGGCGCTGCCATACTGTATACTTCAACGGTTTTTGATATTTTTAAAATTGAGAGACTTCACCTTGTCGATCGAGGTTAACGTTTGTTTGTATCATCCACCGTGAGCCGAGGGAGCATCTGCACTATCCCGAAATGTAACACATAACAAATAAAGTTTTCCAGCTATTTAAAAAAAAAGAATTCTAATTTTTTTGTTTTTTTAAATTTGGACCAACCGTGATCACATTCTCAAAATTCTACAGTATATATTATATACAAAAACAAACAAAAAAAAACCGGCAGGAAGACATTTGTTTTACGAAGTGTCTAGCGTTACGTCCGACGTTACTCAAGTTACGTCCAAATCTCCACCTTCCCTAGGTTCACGGGGGAGAGAGAGGTGGGCGGGGGGAGGGTTAGGTATACGCGTTTCAGTGCCCCGTCCGGACTTAACGCTAGACACAGCGTTTGTTTTCACCGACAAAGAGATGTTGAACAATAACTTGCGACAAGATTGTAAGCTTGCGAACATTGTGCTCAGAGTTCCAATGCTTCGTCACTGCAGTATCAAAGATGTTACCTCTATTCTTCCAACCTTAGGGGCACCACATGAGAACCACAATAAAGGGGTGTCCAAAAAGGACACTACAAGACGCACGACTCCGACAAATCGTGAAAATTGAAGCGGGCTTGAAGCGGGCGCATCCGCTTCAATTTTCACGATTTGTCAGAGTCGTGCGTGTTGTAGTGTCCTGTTTGGACACCCTTAACTGGCTTTCCACATCCGGCGGCAGAGTAAACACGCAGGTTTGATCGATTTACAAGAAAAGTAAACCCCTTCCTCATTTGGAACCGAGATGTTGCAAAGCCAGCATGCACCGACATAGTGCAAGTTGGCGCTTTCACTAATAAACATTTACAAAATTCATCACTAATAAACGTTTACAAAATTCAATCTGGCAACTTTGATCACTAAAATCATCTCTGTCTGTGCCAGACTAATGGTGCTTTTTCGAGGCTCATGAAGGTAGAAGTTGAAGACACTACCAGGCAGAGGATGCACGAGGCCTGTACGTTCGAGACGCTTGTACAATAGGACAGACAAATGAGATACACAACGGCTGTGTAAGTGTTAACTTACGAGTGTGGTGCAAGGAGCTTTAGAGCAGAAGTACTGCTCTAAAACCTTCTGATTGAGGAAATCTAACTGAGGGGCTTTCGTCACTCTGTACTGGCCAGTTCTTACTGCCAAAACTAAAACAAATCTATGGAGAACTAGAAGGCAATCGAAGAACCGATTTTCCTCTGGTATTGACTCGCGGAAGTAATGATGCCCGATGAAATACAGTTTCACGACCGCCATTAGTCTGTCCAAAGGGTGACTGCTTTTTGAGCCACCAGATGGCATCACATTTCGAAAAGGCTCTATTGCACGAACTTCGCGCAGCGCCGTGCATGCAAATGGACCACAACGCGTCGAAGCGACCCTGGCGCTCCCTTACTTTGCGTCCTCCTTGTCTTGCTTGGCGGCGAGCCTGAGCTGCCTGAGGTCCATGCGCAGCTGCTTCAGCTTCGCCAGCGAGTCCTCCACAACCCCCCGGAAGGACTCCATGGTGAGGAGCTGCTCGGCGAGCACCCGCAGCAGCTTCACCTTGTCCCCGACGGAAAGGTCGTGGACACTGCCCTGTGCCAGCTGGGCCATGATGGCGGGCTCCTCCAAGGCAAACCAGAGCCCCGGGTCCTCCCGCTGGGTGTAGGAGCCGCTGAAGCCCCGCCGGCCCGAGGACAGCGTGCCGCTCGAGGCCAGGTGCAGACGCAGCACCTCCGACAGCGACAGGGCGTCCAGGGTCACCTGAGGCAGCCGCAGGCCTGCCAAAGAAAGTTTGTCACGGCGAGAGTTCCTAACCTTTTTACAGCAAAGCTGTTAAGGGCTAGTTCCCTCACTATCATGTCCACGGACAATCAAATGTGGAGAAACAGATGAGAACACACCGTACGACCAACGCAAGTATGAATAAATAAAAAGAAAGAGGGGCAACCAGCACGAGTCAGCGTTCCATGGCATTATTAAATAGTGAAGTCCTGATCGCTTGTTATCATCTCTAGGCATCGTCCTCGAGGTCATCCTAAAAGTCGCCCTTGAGGTCGTCCTAGAAGTCGTTTTTGAGGAAGTCCTAGGCATCGTCCTGGACACTGTCCTCAAGGTCGTCCTAGAAGTCGTCCTAAACGTCATCCTCTAGGCATTGTCCTAGAAGTCATAAAGATAAGAGCTTCGCTGGTCCTCCATCTTTAAGTGAAGTGGAAGGGCTCTACAATTTTTGATCTCAAGGAACACCCACTTCCTTTAACATTGCCACATTTGAGTGGTGCCGAAGCCTAAAGAGGTCGCCCACAATAATGCACGTGCTAGGGTGCGCTCGGCTCAGAACTGTGCATCACGGTGTGGCTCAGCTGCACTAAAATATAGCTTAAGTCAAAGCACAGGTGATTCTACAAGTAAATGAGACCAATCAGACAGCGTCAAAGGTACGACATTGCGGCATTCGTCATCTATCTGGGCATGTTCTTTATTCGGCTAAACAAACCAAGTGCAGCGAATGCCCCTAGACTTGTGCTTTTAGTAGGTCTTTATGATACTATGTGTTTGAGCCTTTGACTGTGCTCTGACCTAAGACGAAACAAACTAAATGGCGGGTAGGGTAGATGCTGTGAATTACATATTTGTACCACTTTCGTTTCCTTTTCCTTCTTGAATAAAAGAATCAACCACTAATAAAATATTTTATTTTGCGCTGGTGTGGCGCAATTGGCGCAGCACATCCATCACTGCCACAGCATCTTTTGTACAATGTATTAGTGGCAAGACAACGGCTTAATTCCCGGGAACTCAAGGGTTTCCCAAAGCAGCCTCAGCTCCTTTTAACCTTATTTGATCTCGTTTTAAAAGCTACTTACTTTTTTTATAGTCACTTCTAGGGTAGGCAAACTTTATTTGTGAATTCTAGCCCGGTTGTCTGTACCTCAATCACCCATTTTGTGTGTCAGCTTTTTGCAAACACTTCGAAAATGGTAATAGTGTTTTTTACTCCGCCACCGCTTTTGCAAATGTGTCGTACCTTTTCCTTTTTTTTCCCCTGCACCTCAGAAGGACACATTATATCTCACGCAGAGATTCTTACAAATAAAACAAAATGGTGGCTGATGTAGACTTGAGATTCTGGGCTTGAGGAAAGGGTGAAACTCGTGAGTGGGGCCATAGAGCAGCTAAGTTCTCTGCCCTTCGCTGCCCGTGGCATCAGCAGACGTCTATCTGGAGAACACTGGAGTAAACTGAAGTTGGTCCGTGCTCTGTGCGTTTTTGAACGGCTTTAAGAAAGGTACAATGGCAAACTGCATTTACATTTCCTTGTTTCAACCGACGTTCTAATAAATTATTGTTATGAGTGTCCTGGTATTGAAAATTGAAAACGTTTTCTTATTCACCAACGTCTCAACCAATGCTCGACCTGTTCAGAACCAAAGGAAGAAGATTGATCTAAACCTTATTTATTATTTAATTATCACCTTACTGTTACCAACTATGTTTTGCTATTGTCTGCCAATATATGCCGGTATAATAAAATGTACATAAATCAATTCTTATTCCAGTTTTGGCCAGTCGTACAACGATTTCTGCAGCTTCGCGATTTCGACAATGGAGAATTTTAGTAGATTGTTCCGATGACACCAATATCGATACCCCCCAATACACCGTCACCGCATTTGCAAATGCGTCGTACCGTTATCAGGTATCGTTATCAGGAAGTCGGAGGTATTGGAACAATCTACTAAAACTTAGAACATCAGGCAACGGCTGCAATGACGACGCTTTGCTCTATCTTCGAGGTAAATGGAACTTCCATTGCTTCGCTGAAGAAGCTTAATGCAGAGCATGAAGTTCATAAGGTACAATACGGCACTTCCATCCAGTGCCTCAGTTAAAAAGGTGTTTATCGTACCAGTCGACATCTTCAGCAAGAAATGATGCAAAATGTCTGAGGAGACTTTTGAGAGCCAGCTTTCTCAGCCAGCTGTTGCTCAAAATACTCAAGGTCAATAAATGGAACATGTGGCAAGAATAACAACCTTGAATAACGCTCTTTCCTCTGTTTCTTGCTTCTGGAAGTAACGCCACGAAAGTAATGGATTACTTTTAGGGAAAACGGTCACTTACTTTTATAGGCGGGTATTTGTGATTGTAATTAATTATATTTAGCCTTGAGTAACTGTAAACGTAATTCCTTACTATTTTTCAGTAACGTGTACAAGTCCAGCTGAAACTAGGCAACCGGGTAGAGCAACTGCCAAGTTCTGCATAATGTGGTGCACCCAGATAATGTCTTTAAAAACAAGCGTCTACCACAGAGAAGCACGGGAAACCGGGCGCGCGACAGGCTGCCATTAGCCCCGTATTGAGGAGCCACCTGGCGACGCCCTTGCAACCGTGGCGAGGGGAGGACTTTATCTGGCAGCTGCGACACGCGCGGCGCCCACACCTTCGTATATGTTCCATTGTGGCTTTCGTAAGAGGCGCAACATAGTGTATGTTGCAGGTCAAATGGGACTCGTCAAACGGGGGCCTCCCCCGCATCGAAGAAGCCGTTGATGGCGCAGCAGACGAAAAGGTGCTCACTGAGGGTTGACAAGTGCTGATTGTTGGGCAAGTTGGTATGGTACGTTAGCGCAATCATGTTTTCTAAAGCTTACCGAGGACCTGGCGCTGCCTCTTGGAGATGGCCGTGGCTGCCCTCTGGGCCCGTCGTATCGCCTCCAGCCCTGTAGACCCGCCGGCCTCTTCCTCCTCCTCGGAGTCTCCGCCCTCTTCGGAACCCTCCACCGAGGACGAGTCTTCCTCTGTGGACGAGGGAGAAAGTCGACCACATGAAATGTCAAAGCTTCTGCCCGAGCTTCGCCTCCAACAGACCAATCTCGTGCTCGTTCCCGAAAGTTGGCAACAAAATGGTGTTACTCTTTAGACAGTAAAATAATAACTCCCAACACTGCAACAGATTTATCAAAACTCCATCGAGCAACCTTGGCGGTCACCATCTCCTGGGCACAAAGCGTGTGGCTGGATCCGAATCCTCGACGAAGACCGATGGGTTTTGATTACTCTACATGGGGTTGACACAGACCAAATGCAAGTGCTGCGTCAATGCTTGGCCGGGACTTGTGTTCAATCAAGGAGGACGTGAGCTCCAACCGAATGCTTACGCAGCACTCATCTTCAATTTGTGCCCCGCGTCCAAAAACGAGATTAACACCGACCTGTGCCCCTGGCGTGTCGGCTGACCACTTCCTCCTCCTGTGCCCTGAACAGGGCTGTCAGCAGCATCTGGAAGAGGTCACTCAGGGGTCCCAGCACGTCCACCTCCGTCAGCGCCCTCTCCAGCAGCTCTGCGGACAAGTGGGGCATCCCGGTGAGCCCCCGGGCTGGCGCGTCCACCCAAACCAAAAATAACAAAATACTGCCGCGTGTGGCCAAGTTGGAGGAGGCACGGAATTGTATAAACACTAATGCACATTTTTTTTTTTTTTTTTAGTTACCTAACTTTGAATGTTTCAATCTAGCATAACATTTCATTGCTTGCTTTGGTCCACACTTCGCTTTACCACAACATGACGAAACGACGAAAGCAATGAGAGTGGTGAGCTAATCAGCGCATTGGAGCAAATTGGAGCAAAGTACCCACATATATCTTAATTCTTCATATAAAGGGAAAATTAGTAAAGATACAGCATACTTTTTTTTTTTACCACAGTTCTTGAGGTGTAAACAAGTATAGGTGAAAGTTCACCTCATCCAAGATTCAGTTCCGTGAGCTCTTCAAAAACACACCACATGTCCACTGCGAAATTTCCGACCCTCAACTAGACAGCAGTTCTCAAAAGGGGGTCCGCAGACCCCTTGGGGTCCCGAAGGCCTTTTCAGGGTGCCAAAACCCTGTACCAAGCAATTAAATATATATATATTTTTTTTTTTACTTGATGCTGTTCGTTTTACACTAGACTCTCATTAATTTAAACTCAAAAGGCCACAAATTTTGCTTGACTTATCAGAAGTTTGGTATTAGAAATTCATATAGCAAATTCATATAGCCATTCATATAGCAAATTATGATTTGCTATATGAATGGCTACACATGCAAACCAGATATTTGATGATTTACTCTACATAGTCTTACTGATCAAGCAGGTATGCCACGCAAGAAACAGTTCTGGGCCCGCTTGCTCGAAGCGCTAACCACGGCTAAAGTTAGCCGCAGTACCTAGGAGAGGGATTTTGAAATCACGTGACTGGCTCGGTAGGGATGCGGGGAAATATGGCGGTGCACCGGTGAGTGAGCGCCGCTCGCTTTGGAACTAATATGTCGTTGTAGCTGTAATATCGGGCACGTTAGTCAGCAAAGAATTGTGCAGGAGGCTTTCGCTTTGCCTTACCTCACTTAAATCGCAAGGTGTGAGCAATGACTTCGCCGCATTTTTTAGATAGTCTTTCAATTCTGGTCATTCCTAAGCCTAAATGAATGCGATAATTGTTGGCATGGCAACATCTTTGGAAAGCGGATTGCCTTGACTCAGTCGGCCGGGTATTGATAGCACACAAAAGCAGACAGCGTCCTAAGAGACCTTTTTTTACATTACCCAAGCATCTAGGAGAACGCTGGAAGTGTAACTCTACGGTGCACGTGCGCTGGCCTTCCTCTTATAAAAGATTCAAAGTAAATAATCATATTAAGGCTTTGACCAACGTGCGTGCAAGGCAAAATTTGTTTTAGACTTTTTGCTTTAGAATAATTACTGCTGCAGACGCCAGCATGTGCAACGCGTGTAACTACACCACAGTAGCGTGCACCTCGGTGCTTGGGAAATTTAGAAAAAGATCTATTGGGACGCTGTCTGCTTTTGTGTGCTATCAATACCTTGTTGATTTAGTCAAGGCAATCCACTTTCCAAAGACGTTGCCATGCCGACTATTATCACATTCATTTAGGCTTACGAATGACCAGAATCGAAAGACAATCTAAAAAAAATGAAAGCCGTTTACATTTCCCCGTAACGCCGGTTAGAGCACAGCTCTTGAGGAGGATGATGGAAGCATAATGAGGGATAGGTGACATCTTGAGGTCACGTGACCTCAGATTGGGGGGGAAGGGGGGGTCGTGTGACTTTGGGGGAGCGGGTCAAGTGACCTCAGGGGGGTCGCGTGACCTCAGGTACAGACAGATAGCGATCCTTGCGCCACCGGTGGTATCGCTATGGACGGCAACAGAGGCAGACCGTTTTCGACAAACGCTTCTGTGGCACAAACGTTTGCGCAATCTTTATTTACCAAAAAAACGAGATTAGAATCATTTTCCACCACAGGCAATGTGCATTCAATGTTCCACCCCTCCTGCCGTTTCTGTTCGTAGGGTGGGCATATGGCACAGCGAGTGCCACCGAGCAAACGCACACCGCAAAAGCAGTGGGCGGTCTAGGAAGCTTGTATCTAGCAACGTCGAGAGATTGCGCGTAGGGCAGTTGATTCCTAAAATGCCAGAACGGTGCGCCGATTCAACCCTTCAGGGACGGAGAGAGCGAGCCACCCACCGAAGCTGACTCCTGCGGCGAAGAAGTCCTTGAGGTCGAGCTGGTCGGCGAAGACGTTGAGGAACTCAAGGACCATGAGGAGGTCCCCGAAGCGGTCGTGGGGCAGGAAGCAGCGCAGGGGCACCATGGAGGGCAGCTCCCGGAGGTCGTCGCACTCCAGGTCCTCCCGGGGGCGGTTCCACTCGCTCAGGAACTGGGCGTACAGCCGCTTCTCCTCGTGCTTCTTCGCCAGGGTCTGCGGCGGAACATGCAAACCGGTCACCTCTACGACGCCCACTCTTCCAAACCCTTTAGAACTCGCATACTTCGCACGGGATGTGAGCTATGGTGCCCGGAAGACAAGGGGTCAGTCACCTGTTTGCGTGCCTCCTTCTGTGCCATCTTCAGCTGGAGTAGGTCTTCGAAATCCCGATCGGTCAACCTCGATCCCAGCTGTGGAACTGCCGCCGAGGTGGTCGACGGTGCAGCGCTGCTTGTGACCGCCTTATCCGCCGTCGCGTCCTTCTTGACAGCTGCAGCAGCTGAAACGCCACGGGGCAACAGTGTCAGTTGCTTTAAAAATACCGGGTGTTTCAGCACTCAGAAGAAATCCTACCGACAGTATGGTTGAAAAAGCAAAAAGAAACTCGTTTCGGGAACAAACTGCCAGACTCGGCAGACGTCAAAGATAGCAAAGAAACATGCTAATTAGCAAGGTAATTATCTCAAATTCACTAATTAACTTTTTAATTGGTGAAAATGAACTAATAGCTTCAAGCAGAAACTTGCTGAACGTCATCGAAAAAACCCTGATCTGTCAAACTGAGGAAGATGTAAAGCATGTGGGAAGCATGGATGTGCACCGAAGTTTCCCCTTCAGCGTCGGGCATGAGGCTGGCGATGCGAAGTTGCAGACGATACTCTCACCGTCTGCGTTTTCACATTGCCAACAAATGCCAACAACGTTGGTCGTGCGGGACGGTTTCTTCCAAAACTGATGACGGCCGAGAAAATGCATGCCTACACAGAGGCTTCCTAGAAAAAGGTCCCCTATTACCGTAAAATACCGAGGAAACGCCCATACTCGTACAAGCGGCCACTATTAACATTTTTTGGAATTCAAAAATTTGGGCAAGTACACATCAAGCGCCCTAATAAGCACCCATAGTTGGCTTTACGCGTATTTCGATAAAATGAGGGTGGGCGTTTCTTCGGTATTTTACGGTAAATAAAGATTTACGTTGAGGCTGCCTACCGTCCTTCTTGGGGCTGGCCTGCTTGGGGGCTCGCTTGGCTTTGCTGTCCGGTGTCTGGGACCCCGGAGGGGCCCTGGCTCGAGGGGACACGGAAAACGTGGGGGCCGGCCCCACAAACATGTCCGTGAACTTGAGCTGGTGCAGGCCGTACTTTTTCTGCACCCCGTCCTGGAAACCGAGCAGGCGAACCTTGGCCACGCTACTCCTTCTCACTCACTTTCCCCGAGCTCAGTGCCGAATCACAAACACCACTTTTACATGACTACGTCTGAGCCTCGTCGTCCGAGACTACAGTGCTCAAATCCCGTAAGAACGGCTGCCCACGAAAGATTGCTTGTCCCGTTTTTTGGGATAAATACAGTAAACACCTAATTTTTGCGAAAACCTAATTTTCGCCAATTTCGCGGATCGCCCAAAATTCGTGAAAAATAGGTCCCGCAAACAATTCCGTTAAAATGTCAACACATTGGAATCTATATTGAGATCCCACCACGTTGCGAAAATTGAAACCCACGGATTATTCCAAAAGTTCAGCTTTGACCTAAATCGTGAAATATTGAGCCTGGGAAAAATAAGTCGTTTAAAGTATTCATGATGTAAAAAATTTGAAACTTCGCCCACCCCGGTTCTTGCCGGATATCGATCGCGCAGTGTCCAATGGGAATATCATAAACTGAGCAATCTGCCGTGTCGGTACGTGTGACAAGCAAGTTCGCAGTAGTTCCTTCGTGTTTATCGCACCTTAATATGCAAATCTGCTGCATCCGTGATCTATGGCATCCGTTCCCGTGATATGCAAGCTCCTAAAGGGTTCTATCTTTTCTTTTCGTCTGCAATCTGCCCGCGCAATATTGGCTCCCGTAATACGATAGTTTGTAGAAGCTTCCCACATGCTTATCGCACAGTGAAACATGATTCAGCCATGTCTGCAATCTGCGGTACCTGTTCCCTTGGCATGCGAGTTCGTAGCAGGCTCCCGCACTTTTGTCCACGATCTGGGCACGCGACACTGGTTCTCGCGACACCCAAGTTTGGAGCAGGTTCTAGCGTGTTTATCGCACCGTGAGGCAACAACCTGCTGTGTCTGCGTTCAGCGGTATTTGTTCTCATGACGGGGGAGTTAATAGCGAATTCCTGCATGTTTTCCCACCATGGAACGCGAATTTGCCATGTCCGCCATGAGTGGTATCAGTGACCGTTTCACGCGGTTTGCGGCAGGGGGCTCAACTCTTATCGCAAATTGATAAAATTTTGCTGTTGCATTCTCAAAGATGGCTGACCCCATAATTTCTTTTTTTACCACTCATCCCAGGTCATTTTGGGTAGGTCGTTCTTAAGGGATTTTACCATGTCACACTGGTTTACCACAGGATGTTATCTAATCAGCCAAATTCTACGAGGAAACCTCCGTGAAGAACCAACACGAAGAACCGTCACATGACAGCATGAAGTCAGTGACGGTGATGTCATGCGACGTCGCAGAGTTAAGGTGATGTCAACAGGTAACGCGTGACATCTTGTGAAACCGTGGCATTGTGCAACATCAGCCATGTGATCTCATGAATCACACACACACACACACACACACACACACACACACACACACACACACACACACACACACACACACACGCACGCACGCACGCACACGTAGCCTGTGCCCAATTCATTTACAACACATCCTGTGCTTCTTCAGATAACTGGTCACAATGATTTTAAGCAACAAAATGGCTGAACTGTTACTACAAATTATGCAAATCTCCCGAAGTTAGGAGTTTGGAAGGTTTCAGAAACGTCGAACCTCGCTGAGGTTGGAACTCGACAAGCCGGAAACTTCCGAACCTCGCCGAGGCTTGAATCTGAAAAGCTAGAATGTCTGGAACATTCCAAATCACTTTACGATGTTCGAGGAAGTCATAGATTTAAGATTTCTTTCAAATACTCATAAAGTCTAAACAATTTGCATTTCTTTGAGATGCAAGACCGAAAAATGAGAAGATTTCAAATTTAACTTCAAATTGTTTGAATCTCATGGTCAGAGAATTCCACAGTTTACAGGGACTCACCTCGAAAAAGTCTGAAAAGTGCGTCGAATTTCACTTTTGCATATTTATTTTGTCCTGTAAAGACTCCTCGGCACCATGGTACTTACGGTGCTACCGGTAGGACTCATTATTTATTGTAACTCACGACGCAACCCTAAAATTATTCAACTTTGCTGAATGTGTCACAAAAAAAAAATGTTTTGCTTGTTTTTGGATTTGAAACTTGCTGGTAACTCCCAAAATAATGTGAATTTCTGGAAAAACATTTTTCCTCAGTGTTCAGACATTCAATCAGTTTCGTTTCAGTCCAGAAATCATTTGGAGGGCCCATTCAAAGACAGGGATGGTGGAGGAAATTTGGGAACTGGGGAGCCGATGAGGGTACTTTGGGGAACCCAGTCCGAGAACCACCCCTGCTGCAGAAAACCATTTCTTGACATTTAGTTTTAAAGGGATGCTGAACCGAAATCTGGATTCTCCAAAACACTCGGCAAAAGCATGCAACAGGATGCTACAAACACCAAAACATCACTTATACAGCGATATCTCTAACAGATGACCGTACTTGTCAAAAAAGGAGACGCATTTGGCAGAGATGTCGACGTCATGTTTCTCCGAGAAAGAGAGGGAACGGCCTCGCGTCTTCTCCGCTTCACGGCCTTGAGGGAACGAAGCGAAGAGAGGAGGAAACTAGGTATCTTGACGTCACGCGCCTGGTTCAATCGTGACTTTTTTTTTCCAAAAATATGGCCGTCCATTTGAGATATTGCCTTACTGTTGTAGGGATGGTAGCGTCCCGCCTACATCTCCAGCATTGTTTTTTTTTAAATCCAAATTACGGTTCACCATCCCTTTAAAGTAGGTTTTAATGACCTACCTTGACTTCCATGATGCCGTTCTTTAGCTCCACCGACTGGCGGAAGAAGATCCGGTTCTTCTCTCTCGTGTACGAGTTCTTCTTGCGACTGCAACGCCCAACAGAGATCCAACACATGAGCTTCAACAGCCAATGAATGACGGCTCACATTTCATGAGGAGAGTAAGGTCACGATTGCTGAGTCACTCTTCTGAATAACAAATTTATTAGCAATCATTAGTTTTTCGCCACCTTAGAGTGTTTTGTCTGCCACAACCGAGAGGAAAAAACAGTTCTAAGCTATTTAACTGTTTATTTTGATTACACAAAAAAAGAAGACCTTCTCATGTGACAAAACTTCAGCAACCGAGGCTTTGATCTGCCAGTGACGCGCCCCTTGTGCGTGCAAAACGCAAAATGTCTTAACAACTTCAAGACCTAGCTAAGCAAACAAAAAATAAGCACAAAAAAAATAATTTACCCTACAACAAGGTTTACAGAGGCACTGTTCTCATACTGTCTAAACACTCATATCTGCTTTGCTTTCAACGAGTGTTTCACCGAGCTGTGAAAGGTCACTGCAAACCAAAGAGGTACAATTTTGCAACCCGACAGACTCGGATAGAATTGCGAGAAACATTGGCGGTCACCATTTCTTGGGCATGAAGCCCGTGATTCGATCCGAGTCCTCGCTAAATGGTAACACTGCATTTGTTCTGGGCACAAGCAGAGTTGAGATCATGCCGAATAGTGACGTTGCTCTTGTGTCCAATACGTGCCCAAACAACGGCTAATTCGGACAGTTGGTCCTGCAGCTGCTCGGTGGCGCACATCAAACATACTTCCAAGTTGACTCCTCCAAAGTGGATCCCTTGCATTTTTCTTGCCCAATTTACTCAATAAATATGAGGCAGTCAGAAATATGCAAGTTCCCCAGTCCTGAACGAAATTACTTTCACTAACAAAATTGACTGAAAATGAACATGTTACTTACGCGTAATACACCGGAGCACAGAAATTGTTCGACGATTCATAAGAATATTCTTCTGTCTGACGCTGCATACTTTGTTTCAGTTACCACAAAACACTCGTAAGTAGTTTAGTCTTTTTTTAGTGCTTTTAACCATGGTTCAATACAGTCAACACCAACTAGCCCAACAACAAGTTCTTTTACAGTTTAGAGAAGTAAGTGTGGTGCAAGGATGGAGCAATTGCCAGAACCGTCCAGTGCAATGATCTCAAATTACTTACCATTTGTACAACAGGTAACGTTGTACATGGCCATATGGCCACATACAATGTTACCTTCAGCCATATGGCTGCAACATTGAAGGACTCGTCCTCCAAAGTTGCAGCCATACAAGGGCACAGTCGGGACATAAAAACTTGCTAACCTTGGGCTTTCCAAGTAACTATCACTCATATAACACCGGCTACTTGGGATTGACCACAGAAACGAGAATTGTTCGAGCATACAAACATACCTAATGTACAAAAAAAGTGCACAAGCAATTAAAAAAAAAATGCATTCCACTACCCCAGAAAATAAGCATACGAAGAAAAAAAAAACACTGTATCCACTGACATTTTTCAAACATTCTTTTAGAAACATATAATGTGCTTCATAATCCACACTATCAGGCAGATCAGCATCAAGCCTTTTTGCTCTACACCGTCAAGGCTAGCATAGTTTTTGTAGCTTTTTGTTTATGCCTGCCAGCTTAGTCATGTTCTCGTAAAGGCTTGTGTTTGCCTCAGAAAGGAGCATCTGAACCCGATTCTAGTTCTTCCTGGTTCTCGTTAGCCAGTCCCGTCTTGATCAGTCCCTGGGCCTACTTATTAAAGGGACACTAACAGGGTATTTATGCTTGCCAAGGATTTTATCTGTACATTACTTATGAGAGCCCAACTACCCAGAACACCATTTGCGGCTCAAAATTCGTTTTCTTTCTGCTCGAGAACCACCAATAGAGAACTGGCTGATTTGAGTCGCGCTCACTCTCTTCTCCATGGTCATGTTTCATTCTCTATGGTTTAGACACAACCACCACATATCATCAAAGTCGTGGGTCATCGAAGGAACACACTCAATAATAAAAACAGAAAAGCAAAACATGATACTTATTATTTGTGGTTCCTAAAAAACTGCAAATATGTTCATTAAAAAAAAAAAGGTTGCACAGCCACACTAATTTTGGCAAATCTCCTCTGTATTTTTTCTTCCTCCCCAGTCCAGTTTCAGTTTTGAGCAGTTGCATTTTTTTCCTTTATTAAAAATATATGTGACACTTTAGCAAAATACTAATTGGGTAGTCTTCCGACACCCATAATAAATTGCCGGGCAAAAATAAAAATAAAAATTTGGGGGGTGTCAGTGTTCGTTTAAGAATTACCTATGACGAGTCCAAAAGTCTTTCCAGGCAGTTTTTCTTCTCCAAGTTTGACCTTCTTCCCTGTCACGGGTGGCTCGCTTGATTTATATGCTTTTCTTTTCCGCCCGTCCCAGTTCTCAGCCTCTCAATGCAAACACTCCAGGTAGGCCTTGTGGGACTTTTTCAAAGCCTTTAGCGACTCTCTCGTCAAAGGCACCTTGGAATGACCCCTGTCGAAACGCTTTAAACAGCTCTTGACCCACCTAATGCCACTGATGTATTTGACCCCCAGGTTTCCCCGGTTGTCTACGATCCATTTGTTTTCCCTAAAACCATGTTCCGAATCGCAATTTGGCGGCATCAGGACGGCACAGCAAATTGCCCCTGGTGCAAGAGTGGAATCACTGCCTGATGTCCTGTCATCTATTCAGTTTTGTGAGTTTCCCCTACTTTCTTTGTTAATCATATCATCTCAATTAGCCCTATGACCCACACACAACATTTGTAGAATGCCCTCGGCGCAGCAGATACTGACGTCTTCAACTCGATTTCTTTAGCATTCAAGTTGTCTTTGACTAATTTGTAACCTCACCCTCTGGGCGTCATTTCCGAGGCACCAGCCGTTCACGGGCGCAAGAAAGGAACAAATAAGCTAATGAATAGTTTCCACAGCCGCACACTGCTGCAAGAGCACACGGCTCGCTCCTCCAATACAGTGAGCTGCAATTTCGTCGCCGAACGAGCCAGTCACCAAATTTCGATCGCAGTATTTCCAAGAGGGAAAAGAGAGCCCGGGCACGCTCACCAGATGTCCGTGGCAGCGACTGTGTGGTTCTTTCCCTCGCTGTCCACCACCTGGTACTTGACCTTGTCCGCCGGCACTGAGGTGGCGCCCTTCTTGCTCGGCGAGCCCTTGGCCGCCGCCCCGCCCACCGTCACACCCGTCACCGTGCATGTTTTCCTGCGGCGCAAGCAACTCGGTGAGGCCACGGAACCACCAACCCAAGATGTCCAGAATGGCCGAAATGACGGACTCTGGAACAAAGTGTGCACTCCCACGCAACGAAGGTAGGTTCTGGTCGTTCACTCAAAAGCGACAAGCAACACTTCAGAGTAACAGCGCCTCAGCCATCTTGGGGCTCAAAAACAATGGTGCCCGTTATCCGTAGCTTTATCTGAAAACACACTTCAATTCTTCAGAAACGCTAAATCGATACTGCAACGAAATTCTAGCGCCTATTTTGTTGTCTAAATCTCAACCACGTTCTGGCCGTGGAGGCACCAATATCTTGCTCGAAAAGACACCAAAACATTATTCAAAAGGAACAAACCGAACGTTGTGATGTCAGCCTGAAATTAAAAGCAGCACCACACTGTTGAAGTATGGCGGAAAGCTGCAAGCGTGAGAGCCCTGTCGAACCTGGCCAACCCAGATTTACATTCTCTCTTGTGCCTATCCGACCCTTGCGGGAAGGGGCAACCAAACGGTCAGGCTGTAACGCATCATGGGAGCTTCCGAGACACATTGCATTCGTGGCGTCATGTTTTCCTTCTGGCATGGGTGTGACCTCCACCACTCGGTGGTGTCAACGCATTACAACCTGGTCGTTCAGCTGCCCCTTCCCGCTCCCCGCAAGAACTGAATAGGCACAGGAGAGAAGGGAAATGCGGGTCGACAATGTTTGACAGGGCCGTTCTTCTCCAAAGAGCGGTTGCTTTTAAGTTCGGAGTGACGTAACAACGTTCAGTCTATTCCCTTTGAATAATGTATTCGTGCCTTTTCAAGCAAAAAAAATTGGTGCCTCCATGTCATTGCCAGAACGTGGTCGACATTTAGACTATAAAATAGGCGCTAGAATTTCGTTCAGCATCCCTTTAAAACAGATCGTGTCAGAGCAAAACGATATTACTCCAGCTTCCTGCTGCTGTATCCCAAACTCAGGAAATTGCCTTTTAAAATGGTAACGATCATTAAATTTGCCTGCTTTGCGGAGGCATCCACTTTATTGAAGCTCATTTTAGCAAATGGCAGTTTAGATACCAGATTCATAGAATCCCCTTACAAAGAAATGCAGTTAGAGAAAGTGGTGATGAGCCTCCTTTTAGCAAATTCATTTTTTCTGTAGAAACACAATTGGGGCTGGGCGATGCCAAACTTTTTGCATCTTGCCTGGTTTACGGGGGAGAGGGAAAGGAGGGGCGGGGCAAGGCTTCGGTAAATGCCTCAGTGAATCACGTGCTCGCCTTTATTAAACAGCATCTCCTCGTCGATATACGGCGTTTTTCTAAAATCGGGCTTCGTTTTCCTTAAACCGAGTTTCGAGAAAATCTGCCTGTTCTCTAAAACGTGTTTCAATGATATGGTGTTCCATCAACCGTAGTGTACACCCTCCTCCGCACGAAACACCAAAAGGGCGACACCTGAGAAAACATTTGGGAATGAATTGCCGATACCCTGAGCATCGTTTAAAGCGAAGCTGAAGAGCTTTTCGAAAAAAATTAGATAATGGTTGATTCTGACGTGTTTGTGCCTGCTGAGTCCAAATATCGCAACGATTTTACCCAAAATAACCCCTGAACGTGGAAAGAAGCGAAGAAAGGAGAAGCGATCGCCGCAGCGGCACGCCATTGGCTAGTCACGCGTGACGCACCACTACGTCATAAAAGGACCATCTCGATTCTCGTTTGCTCCGTCGCTTGCGGATGTAGCCGGGTGCCGGGTCTTCTGCTCATGTAAATCGGGTTCAACTTCTGATTTTTCGAAATCTTTCGGTGGATCCGAAAGAGGAATGTGTCCAGACGACCCTCGATGTGACATAGTACGTGTTCCAGCTGTCGGCAAAGTAGGAAAATGACCCCCTGCAGTAATAAATGGAGACATGAGGAACCGCTTGCGCGGACGCGGCATGGCCCGCTTCATGCCTTCAGGAACGTACTGACTGCTACTTATTGTAACCTAAAACGTTGACAATAAACGGAGTGCTATTGGCGGGACGCGTCAAGCCGGATTAGCATGACCCTCCCCAAAACGGTCGTCAGAGGACAAAAATTCTGCACACATCGGCCTTCGTGCTTGCTAGCTGCTGGACACGTGAGCGTGCAGGCTGCATTGTTCACCAAGGCTGAAGTGGTTTGAAGGGATCGGCTTCGGGCGACGGGAGAGCTTCCCCTGAGATGAGACGGGCTATGAGACAGGGCCGCCGTCCTGCCACCGCCATGTCCTTGCGAACTAAGCGAATAATTGCGCAGAAGGTCATCCTTGTGATAGCGGTACCCCCTACTGCATTTAGTTTATAGCTTTAAGAAAAGTACAGATAGGTGCCCGGCAGCCATTAATTTGATGTTGAATTCGTGAAAGCTTCCTGGGCCTCTACATTCGCATACTTCTACCAAGATTTGTTGACTGCATCAAACCACCAGGCATTTTCATCATCCAATCGCATTTGTACGGCACAAAGAACCACTGCATGACACAAACGTTATTTGCAACTTTCTTGACCCATAGGAGGCGCACTGGTGCCTATCAAAATGGCTGTCATCTGGATGATCCTCGTAGAACGGCGCCGTACGAGGCTGGGTCTGCGACGTGTACGTAATTCTATTTCTTCTACATACGAGCAGTATTAGAGCCTTACATTATTTTTTCATGCCAGGAAGGTGTAGGAAAGCCCATTTATACGGAAAACACTGCGTAACTTGTAAGAAAAGAACTCAATTCAGAACAAAAGGCTACATGCTTTGTATTTCTAAAAAGCTCTCCTGAAGAGAATATGAACCTATGAAAGGAAAATTTAACAAAATTTGTTTACGTTTAAAAAATATATAACCTCAAATATTATCAGCAACTGTAAAAAAAAAAAAGAAAAAAAATGTTTATGCTAAAACAAGTTGCATTGTGAGTCTCATTATGAACTGCATGACCACTTATTAGAAAGTCCTCCTCTCCCAAGTGACTGGGTAGTGGAATAGATTAAAAGAAAAAGAAAATAATCTTGGGCTACCCAAGATTGTTTTCGTTTGTTTCCCGAATTCCCCGGACCTAAGTCGGTCCGGAAAATAGGGTCACTTCAACAATATAAAAAACCAACACTAAAACACTAATATAAGGCGGTTAACACAAGAGAGCCAGTGGAAACCCACTATTTTGCTACATGATCGCGGCTTTTCTAGTACACTGCAGTTCTAATAACGTAATAGCTTTTTTCTAGAACAGTCGACCTAAAAATCCTACCTAATTATGTTTCCTCTTTGCTTGTGACTTTTAATGCGCTGAATTGCCTTCTTACGTTCAAAGATTGTCGGCAGAGCATTGGGTTCAGGCGAGCCTTCTTCAGACCCAAACCCATGCGTACATAGTTTTCATATGCGCCGTTCGAAACAAGTTTCGAACAAAAAAACGGCGTACTTGCTCAAACCCAGCCACCCCTTTAAAATCTTGGTGTCAGAGTGAAAACGACGGTAAGCGGGAATAACTGCGACGAGCGCTGTTCGTGCAAGCCGGCGGCTACACATGAGTATGACATCGTGCAACAACACGAGTCAGTTGGTTCGGTGCCACGAGAATTCTTCAAACACGTGATCAAACAAGAGAACAATCAACACGACAGGCGATTGAGTCAATAGCACGACCAGTCAACAGAAAAAAGCAAGCGCTATGCGGCGGTAGAACGACGACGACTTGAAATTAGCCAGTAGAGCAGCATCGAGGGAAGCGCGGCCGACCTCGGCGGGGTCCCTCAGCCGGTCCTTTTGTGACGTTGGCTGGCGGGCTTCCTCCTCTCTCCCCTTTCTCTCTGCTTCAAAGGGGTGTGGCTTCGGCGCTACTTTGAAGGTGCTTTTCCGGTTAATCCGCGCAGAAAATGACGAAACAAATTGAATATTCGTGATGGTTGAGGACTAATTAACCAGGCTTGGGCGTTTTTTCTCATATTAAAAACCGCTTCAGCTTCCCTTTAATTAGTGGCTCTAGATTCACTGAGCTGCCTAGGCCTAGCTCCCCCAAAACAATGCTTTGTTGCCCTTTGTGGTTCCTCCTAGTCGGCCAGGTTCGTAAAAGTCCCAGCCCTTTCTAAAACCGGCAGAAAGCGTGAGATATGTTCATTAGGGGTCATGGAAGTATACTCAGCACTGCGGGCGACACTGAAGCTGGAACGTGAGGCGTGTTGCTACGCGACGCATAACGCAGAAGCGCGACCTCGACATCAACTCCAACCCTCCTTTCCTTTTTTTTTTTTTTTTTTTTCCCCCGAAAGACGCCAGGCGAAGGCGCCACGATGCAACTTGACGGAGGAACGAAATCAACTGGTTAGCTGGCGTTCTCTACACGCTCTTTTGATGCCGAAAATACTGAGGCGACTACGGCAAGGAGAGGATTTCAAGACAGAAAGGCAAGGAAAACCAAGTACACACGAAACGCTGTATCGAGTTTCCACAGGTGGATGCAGTTATTTTGAAAATCTCGGGTTCAATTCGCACAGGAATGCGCCACAGCGCCACAAAATTTTTAGCACGATCGGGACTGGAGGTCGTGGACGCAATGGTCGGTGATGAATTAGCAGACGAGAGAAAAGAAAAACGACGGGACCAGGCTAGCGAGGAAGCACTGCCTAGCTCGTCCAAATACCGATCTTTTCTTGTCACATTTCATCGAGTTCACCGACTGCAAGCTCGAAAGACTTAAGGTCAGCGCCAATGCACGCCCGTACACGACCGTGTAATCTACCGAAAGCCTCACTAATCGCGCAAGAATGCGCCGAAAGAACGACAAGCAAAACCAGACGCAGGATGGATGTCCCAAACTCACCAGAAGTCGGTCAGCCTCGAGCAGCTTTTAGCAGCTTGTTCGAGATTTCTGCTTCGTTTGTTTGGCGCCATTGTAAACAAGGTTCTTTGCGGGAAATAGTCCGAGACTTAATAGCTAGTATGTGCCAAAATATCACCGAACCGACATCGCACCACGCAGCGCGCGCAAACGCAGAGAAAATGCCGCCAAAGAGACGCGCCAAATTCCCGCGTAACCGGAAGCAATAATCCTCTCAAACCGGAAGCTTTCTTCCAAATTTCCGCCGCTCGACGGCGCAACGGTACCAACCCGCTAGCATCATCATCATCGTCAGAGTCGCACTCGCAACTTGCAATGGCCGCCAACGACTGTAAACAAGGCTACAGGCGACCGACGCAGGCGCGCGACTGTCGATAACAACTCAAAACCTGAGATTCGCGACAGTCCTGAACGTCCCCCTTATAGGCGCTTGTTTCAGGACCACTATTTGTACTGGTCATCATCGCCACAAAGTACACCAGTAGCTTGAATGTCTTCTAGAGTTACAAACCTTCAGAGGTAAATCGCTTCTTCCAAATAAAAGATCATTCAAATCATTGTGTGTACGGTGAAAACAATGCGCTCTGGCTTCTTTAGGCTCGAGCGCAGTTTTTGCCCAGCGCTTAGTTTATCACAAATCGGGACTCGCAGGTCCAACTTTTTTCACAATGAAATTGGAGCAGTCCGTCATCATGTGCAGGCGATCTTGATCGCCCAGAGCCCAGCCATGACCTAGATTCTGTGACGTGTTCTAAAAAGCAAGAAACTGTCCTTAGTTTTAAATGTGTTTTTTTTTTTTTTTTTTTTTTGCTTCTTTGTGACAACGGAAGCCGCAGGTCGAAACAGTTAAAGGACAACTGCCTGTTCGCGCTACTCACAAAAAGAAAAAAGAAGTACTGGTTAAAGAAAATCAAGAAAACGACATTCAAAACGGGCTACTACCCCTGAGGTTTACAACAAGCATGTGTTGTGTGCTAAGGCCTCTCCAAGACTGCCCCTTCCCGGGAAGGAAAAGATGCTGCCTTGAATATGCACGTGCACACAGCTAAAGCCAGACGTGTTGTAAGTTGGGCCAGTTGGTATGACGACATGGTGAACAGAACAGTGCACAATACCCAGGCTTGTTGCATAGTTTTAACATGGTAGTACTAGATTCTGCTGTGCAAATTATCAGTTTTGCAAGCAGCAGTCGCAACCAAAAATCTTGTTTTTGCCGAGTCTACCACCTCCCATTCTGGTTTGTCATCTTTCTCTTAGCACGCTACCACAATATCATGAGAGATAGACCACCTAAAGTCGACAGCAAACTGGTGAACATAACACGTAAACTAACTTTCTAGTGCAATAATAAAAAAATAAAAAAGTTGAAGAAATGCTAGTTGCAGACTTTGTGACCCCCGAAACTTGCATTTGCAGGGGAGGGGCGATAAACCAGAGACGACTGTCCTTCCCACGCGACAATGTTTGCTCACCTCCCATCGTGGCTAAATAACACCATTTCTGCCGAAGTCAGCATTAACCAGGGCCCTGCGATTCCTAAAAGTAAACTATCTTTCTGTTTTTATAAAAAAAGGAATAGCAAATTAAGTCGAAAATAGGGGGCGGGTTATCTTTCAGGGGTGGGGCATATCTCGGGATATTACGGTAGGTTATAATGACCCACCCCAAAAAAAAGGGAGACACTACATCAGCTCTTCTAAAACACTCGAGTCGCTTTAATAAACTCAAACGATCAACAAACGCGGGGCTTACGTCATCATCTGTTCGGAACAAAGAGAGATTGTTGCCGTATTTCTGGCTCGCAACAAACGGCAGTTGAAGCGTGTGACCGTGCTAGCCGCCGTTTCAATGTCGAGTTTACGTCACGTTCCATTGGCGGCCTCTCACAGGGAAGACGGAGGAGGCGGGGTGTTTTACGGCGCTGTAAGCCGCATCCCGCGGGCTCCTCGTACGCATGGCCCGCAACCGAGACGACTTCCCGCATCAGTCTGCTGTATCTACGTGTGTGCATCGACCATTCCTGTTCTCCAGCTCGGAGAACCGGGAACATAACAATACGAAAACGCAGTAAGTGCCAAACTTGCTGATCAACACGAGCAAGGTACGCCAGACAACTCTAGTGACTGACAGGGTGAGAATGGTAGGATGTCTCTTTCGAATGCCCGGTCTCTGGCAGTCTAATCCTGTCCGTGACTATAGAGCCGATAATGTGGTCTCGTGCAGATGGCACCAAATAAATGGCAAAACAGAATTACACACCGACACGCACTGCCCAAGCGTAGTGTGGGAAAACGCAAGCTTGTTTGTCGACGGCCGTGTTGGTTTCTACGGCATTCGACAACCGCGGCACGTGTTCGTTTCATGACGTTCGTCTCGGACGTCATAAAACGGAGCCTTCGAACGATTTTGCCACCAGATGGGGCTTCCTCCGAGGCTGCATCGCTCCCGCGGTGGCCGGGACCGGTTGTTCCGTTTCTTGCTGCTTAAAAGTTTCAGACACGTTCGAGTATTAGCGAGGACCGGAAAATGAACCTGGTAAGCCAATGTCTGTCTCACACACCCTGTACACTAAACAAGAAAATGGGACTTTGCAAAATGTTATGTACAAAAGGTGGCGAGTGGCGAGCGTACGGCCTTTTTCCAAGTAAGACTAGACTATTCGAGCAATAAATACTTATTTCAGTCGTTCGCTTATAATTTCAAAAATCCCAACTTAACTTTTATGCTTTGCATGAAGCCAACTGTGTGTGTTCACGAATTTCACCCGTTTCAATTTTTAGGCCATCTATTAGGGATGCCTACACGAACGCACGAGGCCTTCTACGACTGATGGCTTCATGCATAGTTCCAAGGTCGGCTAAAATTTTTGCCGCAACATGAGTACACGGGAGCTAGAACAACACTCCAAGTCACACCCCTTGCGCAGAGTTAGAACATCGGACAATGGGGTAAAAGGTCCAGGATTCCATTCCTAGCTAGGGACAAAATGTTTTTTGTAAAGACATCTGTCAAGCACCGAGAGAGACTTGGCAGTGTTTGCATGTTGTTTTTTTTTTTTTGTTTTTTTTTGTAACCACCGCCCAAAATGCTATCTGCATTAAAAAGTTTATTAAATTTTTTCTTTACGCTTTTCAAAAGTCAGTCTAGCCACACTGCCCAGAGCCAGACCAGACGGTCTAATGTCGGCATTACGCAGCTTCTCTGCACCAGGAAAAGCGAATGTCTGCACTGCGTAAAGCATTGCAGGAAAATGCAGGGGTATGCGCTCCCAGTTTTGTTTTCAGACAGGCTGCACTCATAAATCGAATATGACAGTGAGCACTGAGTGCAGGAGGTGCAGGTAGATTGGATAAGCCCAGTGGCAGAAGAAAGTCTACTCAGCAGACGCATTCAAAAGCGAGGTTCTTCCGCTATAACCTGACCTCAACCACCACTGCAAGTTGAGACAAGCTGCACTGAGCTAAAGTCTATCACTCACAGCTTCTTGAGAACTGCCAACATACACCAAAGTAACAATGCGGGTCAGCTAGTTCATGACTGATAAACTTCACATCAACAGACAAGACAAGCTTGTCCAAGCCAATGTGGAGCACAAGTTGTCTGCTTCTTGCACGGGGGTTGCGATGCTTTCAGAATGCTGTGCTCTTATTGGCTGATTGAAAAGAAAAGTGGGTAGACCTCAAGGCATCTAGCATTGAGGTCTACCCAATATCCTTCCTATCAAAGCCAATCAGAACTCGGTGTCGTTCTGACGTCGCCGCAACCCCTGCGCAAGCAGCACACAACTTGCTCTCTGCATTAAAGTGGAGCTCCGGCATGTCTTTTTAATGGTCGCAGATTGGCCTCAAAATTGGTTCGACATACCAGCAGACACAGCTGAGCAAGTAACCCAAATAAATGGGTGAAAATGGGTTTTTCTCTCAAAGTTATCGAATTCTTATATTCAGTCCTCACCACTTTTTGAAAATGAAAACTTCCTACTGGCAACACCGAAAAAGTGACAACAGGTGTGGGTACAGATTATGAGGAGTTCGATGGTGTGAAATAAATGTTGTGGAGACTCACTCCAGCACTCGCTGAGCGACGCAAAACAAGTGTATTGTGTTGGTGAGCTTTTTGTTTTTCTAGACTGCCAGCTTGACCCACAAAATTTCAAACATGTAACGTAACACCAGTGGAAAGTGCGGGGAAATATGATAGCTGGTTTTAGCATCACCTGCCAGTTTCTATTTTCTCAAGTTATCCTGATTTCAGAGATGGTAAGTACCCTGTTGAGAAGAAGAAAACTACATTTTTGTTAAAAAGTGTAGTCAATTTGGGTAGCTGAAAAGACCACCCTGAACTCCCAAAAATATACATCTTTAAGTGCCAGAAAAAGTGCCTGGATGGCATATAATAAGCTCTCCCTTAAAATTAATAAATATCTTAGCGCAACATTTTTATTGCGATACTCGTTTGGAGTTGGGAACGATTTCAAAGCGTGCTTTCGTTTACAGACGTCGGCCATTTTCTAATGTATTCCATCATATAAAGAGAAGTAAGTGTTGAAATCACTGAAATAAATCCCACAATGTAAACTATTTTTTTTGTGGGTTTATTTTGCAACAATGTTTAATCTTAGCAATTTAAAAATGAAGTGTTTTGGGGGAGTTCTAAGTCCCTTTAAAGGTTGACGCACAAGGTAATTTTCAGTAGGGCGGAAGGTTCCCTGCACTGTTACTTCCAATCCCACCCCTGCACAGATGAATAAATGGATGGATGGACGATTGTGGCTATGTCCTTTGTATCAAGCGGACGTTTGCGCGGCCTAGCCTATATTTTATCTTAGTAGTTGCAACCAATGCCGTGGAAGCCACAGGTTCGAGAGAGAGGAAAGCTGCTTCTGTACGAACCCTGAGTGACGGGCAAATCTCCGAGGGAGATTACAGCGATGTCTGTTAAACACAGAAGACGGTCTGCTTAAGAGGGAAGACTCTCCTTCCCACGCTCTCCAGCTACTTGGGTTAAGCTTGTGCCCCTGTACCTTTGGTACAGGGGTACGAGCTGCATGCAACTGTACCAAGCTGCATGCAACTGGTGGGATGAAGAAACATCCACAGCCTTCGAGTTCGATGACCCACCTCTGGTTGCGGATGTTGACCTCGACCGACTCTCCGACGAAGTAGCGGTCGCGCGCAAAGGAGAAGACATCATCGCAGAGGTCGCCCAGGCGTCCCCGCTGGGTAAGGGTGGCCAGCAGCAGCAGGGGCTTCTTCAGCCCCACTGGGAAGCGGTTCAGTGCCTCTAGGGCCGCCTTCTCCGAGTTAAGTGCGTCCTGGAACGTCAGCCCGGGCCGGCCCGTCACCGAGCAGCTCCACACCAAGCTGTTGCAGAGGATGACTTGTGCAAAGTACTCCCTGCAACACGTTGGTGGGGGGGGGGGAGGGAGGATGAAGTGTCACGGAGTCAGATGAGTCTTCACATTGGCTCTGTCTATTTGGCAGTGAAGAAGAGAAGAACCAAACCTGATTTGCTACTTTGCACAAAAAGAGAAGAGGGGAGTAAGGTTGGGGACTAGAAAGAACACAAGAAAAGCTAAAAAAGAAGAGATAGTGGGTGATTTCAGATAAGATCGACCAAAGGATGGCTAGTCGACATTTTCAAATCAACTGATGTTTTTATATGTTATTGTCTAGTGTCTGGTATGAACGAATCCAAACTTAGTTTTGACTAGAAAAAATACTTGGGGACAGGAAAAATCGTAAGGCATGAGGTGGTGGACAGTTGCATTAACGCGCACTGATGGAGGGGGCCCGTTTGAGAGTGAATAACTAAAGCGATAACATTAGGAGAACTCTAATACGTTTTAGGCGTAAACTATGGGTATAGCTTGCTTGTAATATAAAGTAATCATATTTATTTAAAATTTATTTATTTTTCTAAAAATTGACAAACATGCCTGCTCGAACGACAAATGGCAAACTTTGGAGGTCTGTATCTCATGAAATAATTTAATCATTACGATATAATTTGCAGATATTATTCTACTAATATATAGCTAATATTTAAAAAAATAACTAAGGTATCTGTGTGATACAATAGTTAGGATATATTTAGTCAAACATGGAAAAAAAATCAAACAAAGAAAAATTCCGATGCAAATAAAAAAAAAACACCACCCTCGATTTTTTTTAAATTTAGGTAGCCTGTTATACTCTATTTCGGCATTCATTTCCATTAAAAACATGTTGCATCATTTTATTGAGAAAGAAGATACAACTCCCCAAAGTAGAGTCCTTTTTCAAAGCCTACACTTAGCAGTGTTTTATACAAGAACTGACTCTGAGTTCCAGTTTCATGAAACCAACACACATCTTTTATATATTTTTAATCAGATGAGGCCAATGATAACTAAAGAAATCGTTCACACACTTAAAGGGGCCCTCCGGAGCTTTCTGAGATTGTATGTTTATGTTGTTATATTGCGTAGTAGGTGCAAGTTAATATGCATACAAAGTTTTAGATTACAAAACCGCTTATTAAGCAGATGGCAGTAGAAATATATCGGGACTATTTTCTCTTGGAAGACAATCCCCCATTCCCTGCCTATCGCTAAAACTTGACCAATGGAAATGCCGCATCTCGCGGGGAATGCTAACGTTATTATCGCAACACTTTTTAAGCTTGTTGCAAAGTAGAGTTTGAGAAAAATGTAAACGGATTGTGGTGCGGGAAACATAGTCCGCAATTATCGTTACAAAACCAGCAAACTATGTTTTCTCTCCGCAAGCTTGTTGCTAGGGGGTGATGCATCGGCGCGTCGGCTCGTCTGCTTCCCGGGGCGTGTGCAGGCGTGCGTTTGCGGGACACCTGTTCCTTCTTCCCGTGGATCCCGACTCCGAAGCCAGCTTTGCGATCCTTCCACGTCAGCCAGTCAAACGTTTCCTTGTCATCTGTGGAATGCGACTGCGTATTGCAGTAGCAGCGCGAAGGTGCGGTGCGACGTACGGCGACTGCCGAGCACAAAGTCCGGGCTCCTTGACGACGGTCCGCGCGTGTTCGGGAGATTCCTCCGCGGGTCGGCGGTCGGCCGCGTTGGTGACGCGCAGTGACGCCGGAATCCTTCGCTTGCTATTGGCTGACGCGTAAAGAGATGCCCCTCCCGTTTTCCGGGGTCATCTCAGAAAGAGGGGGCGTGCCGGGGACTTTGATAGCTTTTTTAATAGGGAAATCCGCCGCGCATGGCCGTAATTTTACGATTTTTAGAATCCTTAAGGCCTGTAGATTGAGTTACCGCCATAAATAGACCATCGCAGAACGCTCCGGAGGGCCCCTTTAAATTAAGGAGAAACTACTGTGTACAAAGAGGTATCATATTACGGACTAGTGATCCGAGAAAAGATCATGCAGCCATCGGCCACTAGGAACTTTGTTTACTTTATTCTCCTGCGACACTATATGCTATTCCCTCTTCCGCTCTACCTTCATCTCTCTCTCTCTCTCTCTCATATATATCCCTGATATATATCCAGAACAAAAACATGTTCAAGCATTCCCTTTCTGCGTGGTAGTGTTCTGTGGCTAGAAAAAATCATTTCCTCGCTAAGCTCACGATTATGGCAAAATAGTTGCCGGAAACCGCAGACGACACTCGTCGCTAGTTCTGGCAAAACGGCCGATACAATCTTTTTTTCGCATTTCCCCGCTCGCTGTCAAGGACAAGGGGGTTCGCTTCAACCAGCAAAACATGGCCGCCGACGCCTGTTTACTGAGCAGTCATGCCTGTCGCCATCTCACTCGCTGGCGTCACGGGCGATAATATCAGGCACAAAGGGGCACACCAACCGGCAGCATTATCCCCAAATACTCGGGCCTCGCGTAAATACATAGAGTGTAAACGCTGTCGCCATGTTATCGTAGTAAGACCGCCCCCCCCCCTCCCCCAACGGGGGACTGCAGTACGCGACGGCGTACTAACACAACGGCGACGGTATCGACATCGCGGGCTCCGAATTTTCCCATAGTTCTACTCCACGGGCATTTCTCGAAACGCTTGATATTGTGCACGCCCGCCTGGAAGGATTTCAGGCGCGTAGTTAAGATAAGGCGGTTCTCCGCGGCAAAAGAAAGCAATTTCACAAAAGCTTAAAAGCGGCGGCGACGCGTGTGCGGTGAACGCTTGTAGTTTTGGTGTAGACAGGGTGTGTGTGTTCTCGTTGTTGACACCAGCCGGCGATAAGGCACTGCAGGCGGTAGCTCAGTACAGCAAGGGCTAATCCGAGTGACCATCAACGTAACCCCACCGCCAACCCCTCGCGAACCGGTCGCCGACATGGCTCAGGCTGCGTCATGAACCACGTGGTAGAAGCTCGGGTGCTTTCATATCAGCGCGTGGAGGGACGACAGTGCGATTCCGGAAAGTCTTTTTCGAAGGCCGCTGACCACAATTTTTTGTCTGGAGACTTTCCCTCTTTCTTCCTTTGACGTGGATCAAGCTTTGCAGACAGCCTCAGTTGTGACCTCTCCTTTCAAATGTACGTTTGCAGCGAGTGAGCTCCTCAGCCCCGGACTTGTCACTTGTGCACCCAGTAGTTCTTTCACTTGGCAATTATATGCCATCAGTTGGGGTTTAATTTCTATTATTTATGTATACATTATGAAGACGTCCTGGAGCTCCGAACGAGTGTTTTGTGCAGATTACTTTAGCAAACACAAAAAGACTATACCAAAGCAGCGGAATTTTCGAAGTGTTGGAGAGTTGGACCTAAACTCGTTGAAGCAAATTCTTCCGCCTGACTGTTCCACCAAAGTGAGTGCGACGGACTACCTGTGCTACCATTGCTTCATGCACATCACTAAGGAGATCTCGATGCGAAGCTCAGAGCAGTGCCCTGACATATTTGTGCCAGCTGAAGAAGCAATTGAAGATCTAAATCGCAGCATACTACCTACAGATGTGTCGCCGCTGAGACAACCAAGCGTCATAAGAATTCGGGACAGGCCTGCCTATGTCAAGAGAAAGCAGACAGAACTGGAGCAGGTTGCTGTCAAGAATATACGCTCAAGGCTACGTATTGCGTACGACAGGGACGCACCATCGGGGTCGTCCGAACCAACATGCTCCACATGCACTGAGTGGGTGGACAACTTTCGGCAGGCCTTTGAAACCGCCAACTCTCTCCGGGAACGTTGTCAACTGCTTACACTCCTGCCGTCAACACTGACGAAGAATGAGGTTCAAAAGATGATTCCACAGGCCTCAATGTACCTCATCAGTAAATCCCAAAAACTCAAGGAAAAGCATGGCGTGTGGTATGAGCCGGATCCTTACACGAGGTGCAAGGTGAGCCCTGAGAACCTGTCTGCTGCCCTAGAGTACTTCACGAAAGACGAGCTACAATGTTCGCGCCAAAGTCCCAACCAGAAGGACGTCATCTCTGTCATGCTCAACGGAGAGAAAACGTTCGTGCCAAAGCGCTTCATGACACGCTCAATACGAGAGGCCTTCCGTATATACAAAGACAAGCATCCCGATTCCGGCGTTGGGCTAACGAAATTTTATTCGTTGCGCCCTAGATGGGTCCAATGTATTCCACATTAGGAAGTGTGCGTTCGTGTGCGCTGCGCCAATTATTATCTTTGTATTGCCGCTCTAGAGAACGTTACAGGCTCAACATTCAACACTGGTGAAATGAACTCGGCATTTCTGTGCGACCCAGCAACAGAACTGTGCCTTCAAGGAGACTGTGATCACTGCCCAAAAGGCCAGTTTCTTACACTCCAGGAACTTGATATCCCGGAGGATGAAGAGATTGTGCTTGCAACATGGGAGTCCGGCGACCTTGTGAAAAAAACTTTGGAACCTGAGACTTTCCTAAAAGTCATCCAAGTGACGGTTGGAAGTTGGGTACTTCACAACCATATCCGGCAAACGCAAGGTAAAGCGATCTACAATGAAAAACAGTGCATGCAACGCGGGAGCATTGTCTTTCATTTTGACTTTGCTGAAAACTGGACCATCGTGCTTCCTGACGAAGTGCAAGCATATCACTGGAAAAAAAAAAACAAGTTTCGATATTTACATGTGTAGTGACGACAAGAAAATCTCCAAACCGCTTTGCCATCATCAGTGAGGACCTGTGTCACGACGCCGCTCACGCTTGCTTGGCTCTAGAAAAAGTGAAGGAGTGGGTTGAAGACAGCGTTGCGGTATACTCGTACGTGACGTACGTAAGTGACGGCGCCGCCAGTCATTTCAAGAATCGCTACCAGCTTCACCAATTTGCAAAGGACGATTGCCCACAAGCCCAGTGGTTATTTTCTGCATCTGGACATGGGAAAAATGCATGTGACGGAGTTGGCGGACTCGTGAAGCACCAGGCCACGCTGAACAACCTGAGAGAACGTTCAGTAAGCG